CATAGTATAATTTGCAATCAAGTAACCTTGAAAAGACCAAATGCACTTTTGTTAGTACTATTAACTGTATTAAACATATTCACATGCCTGCTCATAAATAGTATTCATTATTTTCAAGATGTAAGATTTCTGTGTTCTGCTAAATTTCCTAGGTGTATTTAAAGCAGAAACAAAGGTTGGGATTTTTGTTTGTTACTTGTCTTATCTTGTGAATTCTCCTCACTCCTGCATTCATTGAGTTGTTGGGTGAATAGCTCATTAATGTGATTTCTATCTGTGTACAAAGGCACAAGGCAGAAGCACTGTCATGTAACAGCTTGAAAAGACACCTACAAATAACCTCCTTTAATAAGCATAAATTTACATTAGAAAGATAGATAAACTCTGAAGTGAAAATCCGTTATTTTTATCTGGTGCAACTATTTCATAATCTCAATGTTATCAGACTCATCCTGCATAAATTAGTGAGGTCTTGGGATTTTACAGGATCTGGGAAAGTCTTGCATCTCGAATGGATTTATCCCATAGGAACAGGGATCTAAAGAGCTGCATTTCTCTGTGGGGACTGAGTTGTACCTGGTACACATTGGAAAACTCCCAGCAGCATCCCTGGCAGATGAAGCTGTGCAAAGAAAGGCAGGCTTGACTCTTATTTTACCCATTTTCTAAACACAAGAACTTGTCTCAATAACCTGAATGAACTGAACCTCCATCAATTTTAAACATTCCTTCCTCGACACCAGTAACTGCCTGCCTTAATTTTTGACATTTTCTGAATTTATGCCTTCCTTTGGCCTAATGCCTTGGAAGGAAGGAAAATCCTGCCAGGATAACCAAAATAGTCAGTTTTATATTGCTGTCAGTCCATCATTACCCCTGTAGAAAGCAGTAGTAAGGCTGAAAGGATGTTCTCATAAAACCTTCCATAGGTGTATGAAGATACAAAAGTCTAATACAGTAAATTGAATGTGATTACTGGTGGAGAAAGTGATCCAGAAATAACTGGAAAAGGACTCTTTCTGTACTCTGTAAGTCTCAAATACCCGTGTGAGGTAATGCAGTGTAACGCCTCATCCATCCTGGGATTCTCTGAGTCTTTTGCTGGCGCTAAGGGACACCAGCTGAAGTGCTGTTCCTCTGTTGTTGGTTTTTAGGTACCTTTTAATATATTGGATGCTTTACATACTTCTTTGACTGAAGTTCCTTTGCTGGAGATACTTTTCAAGGCTCTGCAGCTATGAGGGTGGAACCAGCAAGCAAATTAAGCAGAAAAAAGCCCAGCAATGAAAGCCATTGAGCTGGTCAGTCAGGAAATATATGTGCTATGATCTCAGTGATGGGTGAGACAGACAAGGGGAGCAGCAGCCTGCCAGGCAGGAAGGAAGCTGACCATCTTTCCCAGTGATTTTTGCAGGATACTGTTCTGCTCTGCAGCGTAAACACAGACAGCATCAGTCAAAAAAAGAGACCCATCACTGTTACTCTGCTCTAAAGTTACTATTCCCAGACCACCTTCTTTGTCAACTCTAGTGACTTGCCCTTTTCATCTCCTCCTCAGCATGGTGTAGGCAACTCCCCATTCTCTTCCCAACCAGAGCTGCATCCCTACAGGAAAAGGCGTTTCATTAAATGTATTACTAGTGCTTGTCAGGCATTCTTCAGCCTTTCAATCAAATATTATTTTATTTGAGAGGTTCAAGAGTGTGATAATGGAGAATGTTTTTCATCATTCTGCTGGGTGAGCCCTGATTATTTCAGCTTAATGAAACTGCTCTTACAAGTAAATTGTACCTAATGCATTCAGCTGCTGAAACTTCACAGAGCTGGTCCTACACTGTTAACTCACAAGTACAGACATACCTGCAGGGGTTAAGATTGGAGCTGGTTTGAGTCATCCTCACCCAGCACACTTTAAAATAACCCTCCACACCTCATTGCCTTACCATTTTGCTGAAGTTTCACCTTCTAAGTTGCATTTATTTAGAGTTGGTTTTGTTGTTTGGGTTTGGGCGCTCTTGGGGGGTGTGTTCTTTCGCTCCAAAGATAAGTTTAAAATATTTTAAATTACTCAGACATTTAAAAATATGAAATGCCTGAAAATTAAGCCAGGTGTTTCTTGTCCAGATGGTCCTTTATCAGCGTGCCATTCAAATACTTCCTTTTCTTGAACAAGGATTTAAAAGTATTTCACTGTCAACAGATCACCTAATCATATATTGACACACATTTTTCTAGCTTTATGAAAAACATATTTCCCTCAGAAATTGATAGATTTAAAAGATTTGATCAGAGTACATGTCTGTCTGGTTCCTTGGCAGTGTTTTCAGATCTTCTGACCAACCAAGTGAGTTTGTAAAATCTTTCAGTAATTCTCTCCCTTTTAGTTTCATATTCCAATAGAAACATGATCAGCACCTGGTGTTTTGTTATTTATTGCATGTATTTTGATTGCCTCTAAAATCTCCTGAAATTCTTCCACAAAAGGCTCAGCTTCTTAGGGAACAACCATTTATTGTTTGCCTATCTCCCTCCTTAAGCAGCTTATTAAAGCACTCCCTCTTATCGCTCTGTAATCACATTCTTTGTGACCAAGGCATTTCCATTTGTGTTCTTTATCAGACTTACTCAGGTGTACATTGATATGTCTGTAAAATTACCTCCAATTCCTGGCAGGTGTATCCTGCTCCCATTCTCCGGCACACCGGGAAACCCTGAGAGGAGGTGTTTGCACTGTCTGTCCTGGCAGGAGGGCTGTGCTGACTCCTATGGATCTCACAGCAGCGCAGAAAGGAAAAGTGGAGCAGTGCAGCAACGCTGCTAAGTCAGCCCCTGATGTTTTAGTGAGTCCTTCCTACCCCTGAGGTGGAGACTCCTCAGAGCACACCCTGACTGCACTGGCTGCCCCCCAGCTCAGCCTCCTCTGGCCAAAAGAAATGCTAACACAGTGCTGCAGTGCATGACTTACAATTCAAGGGAGCACACAATTCACTTGGTAATTTTACCATATAATGGAAACTGTAGATTTGCTCATCAATGTCCCCTGCCTTACTCTGTTCTTAAAACCGCTAGGTATGCACTGAAAGGTGTGTTGGATGTTTACTTGCAATACTTCACTGTCATGTTTCATCAATAGGCTTTAAGGTCCCAGCTGCACCTTGCTGATCCTTATGAAAAGAACTCAAGTCTAAGAAGTATTTGCTACTGGAAAATTATTCTTCTCACATTGAATACTCATCACCACCGCTGCTGATGAGAGAAAGGAAATAAATTCTGAGATTGCACACTCTGCTTTTAAAGCTAGGAAGTATTAGGATACAGACATTTCCTCACCTCATTCACAACACAGGCTGCAAAATACTCATTATCTACCTCTTATTTACTCAGTTGTAATTGTACTAACTGTAAACACATTGTACTCTTTAGCCATGGGCAATTTTATACATTCCTCCCTAATATCCCAGTCTTTACTGAACTTATCTTCCTAACATGTCTACAAAGAAAGCTTCCAACTTCACTGAGAGAAATAGTAAAGAAGATAAACAACCCTCAGTATTTTGGGGGGCGATTTAAAGTGCAAGAGCTTGATTTGCCAACACCTTTAATATCACACATCTTTCTAGGCCCAGCTCCTATTAACTTAAATTGCATAGTTCAGCTCTTCTCTAAATCAGACCATACAATTTCATGATCGTTAATCAGAAAATGAGTAATACACGCACAGAAGCTGCAGGGAGAACTGAACTGTCCAGCAGCACACATTCCTCTGGGATAGAAAGTGGAACAGCATTGCTGAGGTACTGATAAGTAAAACACAAGCTGAATAAATAGTGCAAATAGTGCTCCTATGTAAAGAGAATGTCCTGTATACTTGCTTAGAATAAATGAGAACTGGTTAACTTCAGTAATACCACCTAAATTAAAGCTGGGTAAACTTTTAGCTCATGTGCCTGGACAGCAAGCTGATCTTCTGAGTAGGATTTAAGGATCTTTTAAGGATCTCCAACATGCATGTGACCTTTCTGAAATCCATTCTCCTGATGCCTATGTGTACCATGCTTCTTTCATAGGTAAGGACAATCAGATCCTTCACACATGGAGCATCACTCATACAAGGAAAGGCTGGGACAATTGGGTTTGTTCAGCCTGGAGAAGCTTTGGGGTGACTTAATTGTGGCCTTCCAGTACCGTAAGGAATTGACAAAAAAAAATAGGGAGAGGCTATTTGTAAGGGCCTGGGGTTACAAGAAGAGGGAGGGTGGCTTCAAACTGAAAGAGAGGGGTTTGAGATTAGATGTTAAGAATAAATTCCTCCCTGTGAGGGTGGAGAGGCCCTGGCACAGGTGCCCAGAGCAGCTGTGGCTGCCCCTGGATCCCTGGCAGTGCCCAAGGCCAGGTTGGACAGGGCTTGGAGCAGCCTGGGACTGTGGAAGGTGCCCAGGGCGGGGGTGGGAGTCGGTGATTTAAGGCCCCTTCTGACCGAAACCATTCTGAGATGCTGTGGTAATGAATGAACAGTTTCTCAGCATAGCTGTTAGCACCAGTGTGTCCGGGGAACATGAAGGGGGCCAGGAAGGCCAATGGCACCCGGCTTGTTCCAGCACTGCTGTGGCAGCAGGACCAGGGCAGTGACCGTCCCGCTGTGCTGGGCTCAGCTGAAGCCACGCTTCGAACCCTGTGTTCAGCTTTGCTACCCACGACATAACAGACATTGCGGTGCTGGAGCCTGGCCGGGGAAGGGGAAGGGTCTAGAGCACGACTCCACGAGACACTGGGGGTTAGGCCCGGAGAAAAGGACGTTTTTCAAACAGCCGGCGCCTGGCCATTGGCACCGCGTGAGTTCCCCTGAGGGAGGGCGGCGCGGCCCCGGGGGGCGGAGGGCGGGCGAGGCCGTGCCCAGCCCAGCCCAGCCCAGCCCAGCCCAGCCCGGCCCAGCCCGGCCCAGCCCAGCCCAGCCCTGCCCAGCCCGGCCCAGCCCTGCCCGGCCCAGCCCAGCCCTGCCCTGCCCTGCCCGGCCCCGCCGCTCTTTCGCGCCCCGCACGGCCCCGCCGGCGGCAGCATGGCTCCTCCCGCGCCCGGGGCGCTGCCTCCTCCAGGCTCAACACCGACAAGGTGCTGCTCCCTTTCACCCGCGGCACCCGCATAAACTTCACGCTAGAGGCCAGCGAGGGTTGCTGCTGTTGGTGAGTGCAGGTGCCGCCGCCCTTTGTCCGTTCTCCCCCCCCGGCTCCTGCGGCGGCTCCCCGGCCCGCGGCGGGGCCTGACGGCTCCCAGGCAGCCGGGCCCTCTCCCACCGCTCTCACCTCGCTGCTGGCGGGTTTGGGCGGCCCAGCAGTGCGGGAGCAGGCACGGAGAGCATCCCGAAGGGGAAAGGTTGTTTGTTGTCTGCAGTGGGGGTTCAACCCGCTGGAGGGGGGCAGTGTCTGCAGGCCGGGCCCTGGGCAGGAGGTCCCTGCTTGTAAAGGAAGCTTCCCGCCATGGCTCCGTGCCTGACATGTGCCTCTCACCGCTGTGCACCCACCCACACACCCCACACGTATTCACCTGCTTCTCTCTGTACCCCACACACACACTCCACCTGCTGCTCCAGGTACCGTGCCCACTGTGCCTCCACACCCGCACTGCTCACCCTGCCGCCCCGCACTCCCGCAGTGCCACCACACACATGGCCACAGTCCCAAGTGTGCGGGGACAGCGCCCAAAGTGCTGCTGCTGTGGAAATACCCCTTCTCTTGCTGTGCTCAGTAATGAAATACCCCTTCTCTTGCTGTGCTCAGTAATGAAATACCCCTTCTCTTGCTGTGCTCAGTAATGAAGGTCCTGACAGCTCTGAGCTCAGGCTGTGGACATAAAGGAGTCATAGCTAAGTCGGGAGCTTCTCACTGCTGCTGCAAGTGTAGGTAACAGCGCCCTTAAGACTCCACCTGGGAACAGTGAAGTGGAGTTTCAAAAGTGAAAGCTTTCCCAGTTTTCTCAGTGTTGAGCACGTGGGATGTACTCCAGGAACTTCTGGCTGGGAGCCCCCTTCCTGCCTGGCACAGGGGGGAGGACTGGGTAGTGTTGAGCACAGAGGCTGAAGGCAAATCCCACAGCATGGGCAAATTTAGAAAGCTCATGGTAGTCTTCATGGTAAACAAATGTTGCCAACTCCTTGTCCTTGTAAACAAATGTTGCCAACTCCTTGTCCTTTCTGTCGAGCTCTAGAGTGGTAACTTAATCAGTAATGAGCAGGAGGTACCCACCTGAAAAAGAAGCAGCAGTTGAGGTATGTTTAGGATGATACTTCCTTGTGTGCAGCAGTTTTCAGTTTTTTTGTGTGTGGCAGTTACTGAAATAGATCTCAAAGGGCTGTATTTTCATTCTCTTTGTTTCTTTGCTTGGTTGTTGTACATTTCTCAATCTCTGGGCTGGGAACAACGCTTTGGTCTGTTACAATTTTTATATTTGAGGATGCTTGTGAAGAAGAGCAGTAATTTTACCCAGAAGTCAACTAAATGAAAGTTACTAGATGAGATGCTTGTGGTCATGTAATTTAATTTTTAATGGACTGCTTTAGTGAAAATCTCATAAGTGTGGGTTTTTTCTCTTTCCTTACTCAAATTTTTGAAGGCTGCTGAGTCTTTAAAAGGGTTTGGTTTATGAGGTAAAGTACATTGCATAAAGCTAAACCCCAAAACTCATCAAAGCACTAGTAAAATCGGGGAGTATAGACTCCCTTTCCTGTTTGCCAGTGAGCTGTGAGATGATGCTGGGCTGGCTGCAGCCATTCCTGCACATGCCAGGTGCTATCCTGCTGTCAGAAGCATGGAGATCTCTGCTAATCTCACTAAAGTCTTCAAATGAAAATATGTAAGATTGTTCTCCAGAGACATGCCATATTTTATCTACATATCTCTAATGGAAGTGATTTTTGTATACTTCAGAGCATGTTCCATTGGTGCTGTTTGCCAGTATACAATGGCTCATATCCCTCATGCAAAGGGGCCTCAACATCCTTTTCCATCCTCTCCCTCTGCCCTTCAGAGATGACTTTTGGCTGAGAATTCAGGAAATTACACCTAATTCACCTTCTGTGTGCTGTCATCTTCTGTGGCTTGTAGAATGAGCATTTATTGACTTCTGCTTTGCAAGGCCTGGCAGGATGTGGGTTGTGAAACTCGACGTGTGCTCGGCAAACCCTCCGGAGGAAGGAGCCGTGTGTGTGCCTGAGCAGATGCAGCAGTTGCACCCGGGGCTCTCTCCCTCTGCATCCTTGTCCCCGCAGGCCTGGAGCTGTGGGGGGACAGAAGGAATTGTGTCTGGAGGAGCAGCAGCACAGCCACTTGCTGACACCTGTGCTTCCTGTCTGAAGGAGCTGTTACTGGAGAGGGGCTGTCGAACTGACCAAGTTAGGGAGTACCAAATGCACTGGCTTGGGATGGAGTGACTCTTCCTCACATTTGGGAAATGATAGGTGTGTTTGCATGCATGAAAGCAGGGGTTTGAATGGAAATGGTCAGATTCAGGCCCTCTGTGTCTGGAGAGGGGACTGGGGGTTTGGGATATGGGAGATTGTGGCCTATGGGAGCTGTTCTGGTTGTACAGCAGCATCTGATAGCTGCTTGACACCTTTTGAAGGTCTGCATTACTCATCTCAAGCATTCAGAATTCAAAGGCAAGTGTCCAATTTCCTGAAAGATCAGTCTATAGCATGTTGTGACTTTACTTTTTCCCAGTTTCCCTTTCAGCCTTCAAGTTTACGTCTGAAAGTAGGATATTTTCAAAGTGATTGTAGTGGTGTCTGAGAATTGCACTGATTGAGAGGAAAAAGGTCAAGTTCTGTCATCATCCCAACAGACTGGGAGTAATGGTAAAGTTACAAGCATGGCTCTAAAGTATTTTCTGGATTTCAAAATGCTCATGCCTTCTGGAGTTTGGGTTGCCTTTATATTAAAATTATTTTTTGGAAAAAGCTTTGTTTTCAAAGCAGACGGTGTTTCCATCTGTTAATATTGTACGTGGCACTATTTTCAGGCATAAAATACAGTCTGTGCAGATATATTTAGCATTTCTATTGCATCTGTATTTGTCTTTTAACCACCTTAATCCATAAATTGCACCTGAAAGAATGAAAGCATTCAAAAGCAGAATTTTCTCCTTGAAACCTGCCATACCATAATAACATTTTTTGGGGAAGGATGGGAACACACACACACACAAAAAAAAATATTCCCCCCAAGGTAGGCTCCATGGCTGGGTATTTGTAGCAGAAATTATCTGCAGTGTACAAATATGTTTACATATTTCATTGTTTCATGGAGCGTAGAACTGAGATACATGGTGAGGGCTGGTGGAAATGAAGAGGAGTTTATTGCCACCTTAATGAAAGGTTTGTGTGTGCTACTGAAGCCCTCACTGAAGGAGTTGTAATGAGGTAATTGCCATGGGAGAGGAGCTGGTGGCACAACAGTAAAGGGGGAGATGCAGTGGCTGAGTGGTGTTGGAGCTGTGGGATGCACAGGTACTTCCAGAGAGCCCAAGCCCACTGCACAGTGCTGCTGTCACAGTAGTTGGCTGGCCAAGCTCATTTTCCAGCTCCTTACCTTGTCGTGTTGTTGTTATAGATTGATCTTACTTCTCCGTCTGCTGGCTTGTGTGCTTTTAAAAATCTGTATCAGTAGTGTTGTTCATTGAGATCTGTTGCTTTGCTCTAAGACCAATAGTCTCATCCCTGGTAATGTGGGAGTTGTGTTGCTTCCTGGATCACCTCTTTTACCACAGGTCTAAAAAACCTGTCTGACTGTCACAAAAAATGTTAACTTCCATATTGTGAAGTGACATCTTAAATAATGTTTGTTCTCCCTCTCCCTGACTCACCTGGCTGTGCTTTCCCAGCAGGGCTTCAAGCTCTTGGAAGTGCCAGCAGGAGCTCAGGACTGGTTTGAGGTGTGCTGGGTGGTAAAGTGAGAGGGGCTGTGCTGCTGTGACTCAGGTGTGTGTGTTACCTGAGAGTGTTGGCTCAGAACCAGAGCAGGGGGTGCGAGTCTGTGGCAGAAGTGTTCTGACAGAGCCCAGGAGGCAGAAGAAATAATGTTGTTTCTCTTAGCTGATGTTTGAATATCAGTGCAAGTTTACTGTTGAAAAAAGCTTTTTCTCAGTCTGAGCATCACTTGCCTGCTAAGGCAGACAGAAGGACTAGGGACTTGTTGATTTTGGGCAATATTTCATTGCTGAACACCCATGAAATAAATGTTCTAGACTTTTGCTCTCTTTTTAGTCCCAAGAGTGGCTATATAATGTCCCCAGTGTATTGGTCAGTCCAATCTTCCCAAACTCTTGGAGTCTTCTACTGCTCAGTTCCCGCTGACTGCATACCAGCCCAAATGCCCAATAAAATTCTAAAAGATCAGATCAACTGACAGTCGTAGTGCAGCTCCACAGAGGTGGATTTTTGCTGGCTCAGTCAGCTGAGTTTAGTCTGAAGAGCTGACAGAACAGTATAAAACACTGGAGCAATAAGAATCAACAGAGAATTGCCAGGGAGAGAAACAGGAATAAGTGCCTGATCTTTGAACCAACTGATGAATAAATGACGTATAATCTAGTGGGGTATTGATTGACATGTGGTGTTACAGAACAGTCAATGAAGAACACAGGCCTGGGTTTGGCTAGATGTGTGGCTACAGTCTTGGCACATGGCTCTGTGTCTGAGGCCCTGGAGGGGATGGAAATGGTGAACGAAGCACAGACTGACAAGAGGACTGGCAGCCTCTTTGTTGGTGCCATTCATTCCTCAGCAAGTAGGATTTTTTCTCTGAGGGAAATACAAACTGGGGACTTTGGTGAGCTTTTTTCCCCTTCCCTCCTCAGTCTTCCTTCGGGTCCTTCCTCCCTGCCTTGCTGTTTCTTACAGGCGCTGGCTTTGGGATCCAGAGCAAGTGCCAGAAATGCTTCCCATTGCTGGCTTCTCAGGATCTAATTTTGCCTTCTGACAAGCCCAGCTCTCAATGTCACACACACTGACACGCTGCCGAAGAGCTTCTGTAGTTGGCAGAGGATCCAAATTGTGGGTTTTGTCACTTAAAGCTGAAGATTCTTTTCTTGCCCATCTAGGACCCAGTAGTGATCCCAGTGTAGTGCTGCTGTAATCCCCAGCCTGGCTGATTAATGCCTTTGCCTCTCTGTGCTTGGCCCTGCATCCAGGTAGCTGTAAGCAGAATGTGCTTCTGATATTGCTGAATGATAGAGGGGCCATCAGATACTTCCTGTGTTCTGCTGGAAAAAATACTTATCGAGCAGATTGTTTTTAAATATAAATCCATATGAAACCAAGCCTCAGAAAGGCCCACTGGAGTAAAATTTCTATTGAAAAAAAAGACATTCAGGTGATATTCTACCTCTTAAACTATTGCTAGAAGCCAAATAGTGTTTAATCTCAGTTTCTCTACTGCAGTGACTGGCTTTTAGCTGTAAAAGCATGAAAGTTCCTTTAAAATTGGAGAGTGTATGTTTGCAGTTAAAATTTAATTTTTGTTGATGCTTTCCTAGTCTGAAAAGTATCCTGTAATTAGATTCCATTTTACAGCACTGCTATTAGTGCAAATCACAGTGGTTTTGTATTACAATTCATAGCCAGATATTAAAAGAACAAATACAAACCACAGTGAAACCTCTGTTGTGTTGTAACCACAATCAATACCAGACTGTAAGAATGCAAAATCCTCAAATTAATAACACAACATCTAATGGCAGAGAGTATTAAGCAGTGTAAAGAGCTAAATAAAAGTCAATTTCTTACATATAATTCTTATTTAAAAAAACCTGCATGCAGACCTAGTCACATGCACATGCTCAGCTTTAAAAGCCAACCAGGCAAGTACAGGAAAAGCCTTACTTGTTGTGAAAGCTTATATTTTTAAAGAAACTTGCTAAATGTTGGAAAAGTGTTTCATGGTTGCCTGGGAACAGCAGAACAGAAGTAAAATAACTAATTGCTCACTTTTAATCTCTCAAATAGATTTTAATTTTTTAGAGTAAAGCTGTGTGCTATTAATACAGAAAATAATATTATTTTAGAAACAGTGTAATCCCTATTAAAGATATGCACATATTTGTGTACATTGTTTAGGTATATAGACTAGATATAAACAAACAATTTTCAGGTTTAAGCTTTCAATTAGTGTTTCAATTGCCCATTGCCTACTGCTGTGGGCTGTTTTTTCCTTGATTAGATAAAGTACTTTGAAATTCTGGGTCAGCAGTTGATATTGTAGTTTCAAAATCCTCTAAAACTACTCCTTATGGAAGCAAAATACTGTTGGGAGCTTAAGGTTCGAAATGGGATTTGCAGTTTTCTTGCAGTGGCTACGAGCAGAGGCCCGTGCTCACCCGGGCTGCAGCTGTTAACTCTCAGATAATTCAGTGCGCTGTGATGTGTTGTTTTTCAATAGATACGATTTTAGTTAAGGAGAAATTCAGTTTTTTGCTGGTGTGGATTTGTTGGTTGTGCCATTAAGAGAAGGAGGTGAAACCTGTGTCTGGGAACTCAGTCATACGTGACATTGCTGTTTGTTTGGAACTCCCATCCTGCTCCTTGCTGGGTTAGAGAATTTTCCCCACACATCCCAGGTAGGCATTTTTGTACATCTTCCAGAGAAAAAGTCCAAGCCATCCAGCTTCCCCAAATTACAGGGGGGAATCCAGTGCCCGGTTTAGGTTGCATTTACCAGAGAGCGCAGCTGTCTGCTCTAGAAGTTTTCATCAGAGCTGTGCTATCCGGAGGAGCGATTCCCGAGCAGCTTTGTCACCCATCAGTGCTTGCTTTCATTGTTTTAATCCTTCAAAGGGCCCTTGTGAGCGGATCCCGGGCACACAGCGGGGGCTGTTCCGGGCTGGGTTCCCGAGCAGCTCCCGGCGCTGCCTCTCTCCCTCCCTGGCTCTGGGCTGGGACGGCCCCGGCACAGCCCGGGCACGGGGCTGAAGGGCCGGAGTGACTAGCAAGGGCTTTGGCTGCTGCAGCACTTCACTGGCTCTGCAGTGACCCCTCAGATGTGCAGTGCTGCTAGCTCAGATTTACTTTGAAGAGGCTTGGTTTTTAATAACTCTTCAACTTTTGTTGTTGTTTTATCTTGACGGTTTTGGTACACTGGAAGGGAACGCTGGGCTCCACTAAGTAATACCCTGGGCCTGCTCCATGGGTTTCGGGGAAAGTTGATTGATTCCATGGTGGAGAGAATGGTGAGCTTGCCTGCCCTGCCTCTGCCCTGGGCTTTCCCCATCCTCGGCCCACGCTTGCCTTGGCTGGGGTCCTTGAGGAGCTGCTGCCATCCGCTCTTCCCAAAGGCAGCGGCTGGGCACGCAGCAGGTGCCGGGTGAATTGCTGGGATCCGTGTGCTGACAGCTCCCCACCCGCAGGTCGTCCACGCGGCCGGAGGCGGCGAGCATCGAACCGCTGGGGCCGGCCGGCTGCCTCTGCTCGCAGAGAGCGCTGGTCCAGGCGCGCTCCTCGCAGCCCACGCGCCTCACCACCATCATCTCCGCCGAGGACACGCGTGAGTCTGAGCTAACCGCTGCTTCTCGTGCCCGTCCTGCCGTGCTCCGCCAGCAAAGCTGAGATCTGGAGCTGCACAGGCGCATTTCACTTCCTATGCACAGTCTTTTAGGCTTTCCATCGCCGTGGAAAAGTAAAAAGTTTTAACTTCTGTTTGCCTCAGATAAGTGTTAATTACTTTAATGATACACCCAGGAAAAAATGTAATTCTTAAAACCCCCACCCCCAAAAATCCACCAATAGAGGGGGTGATTGAAATATAAAAAAGTGTTTAATAAAAATGACTAGCGCAAATTCAGATACTTAGTATTTGAAAAGCTGGAAGTTGCTTTTGTGTCTGTCATACAATATACCTGGTTAGTTTTTATAGTGAGAGAGAGGCAAAGCCGGATGGCCAATTAAATGCCGTGCAGTCACTAACTGAAGGAGTTTATGGGCGTTTATTGTCTGTGGGTGAAAGTCATCTCTGGGACATGAGAGCACTGTAGCAACTCTGCATAAGCACTCCCAGACAGCACCTGTACCTGTCAGTGTAAACGGAGATCAGAGTTTCTGCAGATTTATTCTGCAGTTCAGTGAGGAAGGGAACTGTTTTTCTTGCTTTCTGAGTCACTGTTTGACCATGAGTTTCTTCATGAAGGTCATGACCAAGTTTCGGTTCCTTCAGTGTCAGTGCCTTGTGTCACTGGCTAAATTTGAGGTGCATCTTAACTTATCATTGTTCTTGATGAGCACATCCAGTGTTGTGCTTTCTTGTGCTCTTTCTGATGTCTCTTCAAGTGACTGGACAAGTGCTTCGCTGTGATGCCATCGTTGATTTAATTCATGGCATTCAAGTTGTGTCCACAATGAGAGAGCTCTACCTTGAGGATTCACCGCTGGAGCTCAAAATTCATGCTTTGGATTCAGAAGGTAAGAGATCTGCTTGTAGGAAATTAAATAGATATTGAAAGTTCTAACTGTCTGATACATGCACTAGCTTTATTTGTCACACTGTTGATTGTTTGAAGCCAAGTGGAGAATTTTAAGGAGTTTCTCTGGATCATACCTGGTGAAGTTGTCTGTTCCTTTTTTTCTTTTGAGCTGAAGTAGTCTAAAGAATTTTGCAAAAGGATGTTTTTGTGAACAGTCAGGTATCTGACAGGAGGTTCCGAGGTGATGTTTGAGACCAACCACCTATTGCTCAATCTGTTTAACTACTACACAAACACTTCTGGGACACACCATTTTAGGCTTACAAGAGTCAGTGCATTTGTGAATGCATTGTTATTTAATAGGAGAAGAAAACTTCTGCTTTTTGTAGCATCAGAAAAAGAGCCATGGTCTGATATGAATTCCCATGCTTACAACAATCAAGTTTTGTTCACACACAACACTCCAAGCAAGGGAGTTTTAGAACAGCTACTGAAGGGAAATAATGTGTCAAGCTGCTATAAAAGGTGGAATTAACTGTTTTGGTTACTGTGCCCATCCCACCTGTGTTTGTAAACTGTGAGTGTCAGGTGAAGTATGGTAGTATGGTGATATGTTAATAATGAAAAGTAAATTTGTTTTTGTCCTATGTGCAGTGCTGGATTTGTGGCTTGGGTGTTGTGCAAATTCAAGGGTACTTTCATGATTCTTCTTGTAGGGATAAAATAGAGAAATTTCCCAGGGAAATAGGTCATGGTTTATGTTCCAGGAAGACTCTATGCTCGTTCTCTATTTTTATTTTAATCTGGTTGTTTGATTTTGTAGGAAACACTTTCAGCACTTTGGCAGGGTTGGTGTTTGATTGGACAGTGGTGAAGGACCCAGAGGCTGATGGCTTCTCAGATTCCCACAACACTCTACGGTAAAGTAATTTCCTTTGGTCTCAAAAGTTGGTTCAGTCTGATGTGTAAAAAATACTTCCCCACATCTAGCCAGTTTACTGAACTGGTGCCTAAAATGATAATGTTAAGGGTCAGTTGTTTTCAGTTTGGGTTTTTTTAACCTACTCAGCAGCCTGGGCACTTTGTTCTCTGTTTAATTGAACTGATAAGTGTTAGTGAGCAGCTCTGGTAGCTCTGATGCAATAATTAGAAATAAACAGATGCAGTTGTTGATCTTTCTGAAACATCTCATGCAGAAGGAAGATTTACCAGTAAGATTGTTATCTCAGGATTTCAGCAGAGTTTTATTTTTTGCTTTTGAAGGGAAAAAAGTCACTTTCCATTTCAGAAAGGAGCTCTCTGAGCCTTAAGAGTTTCAGGTGTCAGTGGACACTTAGTTCTGGTGTTGAAATAGGAGGATTCCTTGTGGGGAAACCAGTTCTCCTACAGAGCAGAATGGTTAACAGCCAACTTCCATCCTCCACCTGACACTCCAAATACACTGCAGGTGGGATGGGGGGAGCCAGCAAGACTTTGCTCCTGGGCAAACACAAACTAATTTTGCAGCCTTAGAGAAGCAGTGTTGGCTGGGGAAAGCCTGCTAAGCCCATAATACACCTGAAGCTGCAGGTACAAGTGAGAGCCAGAATGAATGGCTTAGTGGGACTGGATATCCCAAGTCCTGGTACATGTGGAGCTTTTTTTGTCAGTATAACTATTTGCTGATGTGATTTTAACCAAACTAATATTGATATATACTCTACTGTTAGCATAACTATGATACCATAGAAATGTTCTACAGGTGGTACAGCTTTGCAAAATAAATCATAAATTGTCAGGAATATGTTAATATCTATAACTGTTCTCCATATGGCTCCCCTGGCTTTTCTCTGAACGTGAACATGAAGCCAGGCAGATCATGTTGCATACAGAAGGTGACACCCTGTGAAACATGCTCCTCTTTCCAAAATTTCCTGGCATTTGCCCATTCATGGCAAATTCCTTCCCTCTCTTTTGCCACTTTTCACTGAAATTTCTAACAGTTACTACAGGTTTTCTGCTTGCAGACTATTTTCATAGTCATTTGTTAAATACGTCCTGGGCTTCTTGAGGGAGGTCAGAGCTGCGTTCTGGGTTTGTTGAGCTATTGCGTTTTATAAACATAAGCTTTGGGTCTTGGCACATCAGTTCTTCTACAATATAGAGAGTTTTTGCAGTCTCACCTACTGAACAAACTGGAGAGGTAATTGTAGACAACATGTGCAGTCTTGTGATAGCTCACAAAGCAAGCTTCAGACAAACTTATCTGTCACAGAAATTAGCTGCAGATACCTCAAAGAATGAGTAAAATTTGGATATCTGGGTCCAGGCAAATATCTTAAATTGGCTTAAAAATGGAAGTGGCTGGGAGTAGATGCTGGTGGTGTTTCTCTGTGGGTTTACAAAGGTTGGTTAACAATTTTCTGTTCACTTTGTGATTCACCTTTCAGTATTCTCAAGTTCTTAGAATCCACTTACATCCACCTTCCTATATATTGGAAATGGAAAAAGTTGATAAAGCAAGGAGATACCATTCTGGTGTCTGGAATAAAAACAGGGAGTTCTAAATTAAAGGCAAGACTTCAGGAAAGCATCTATAAGGTAAGATTTCTGGATGTCAGAGGGGAGGATGTATTTCTGAATGTGTGAATGAGCATCTGTTTTTCTGTAGTCTCCAGAATGATCTTCATATCGGCATGAATTTTTTCTTCATTCTTGCACTGTGTACACAGAGCAGATCTCTGTACCATTCACTGTCCCTTGCATTTTGTTGTGACAAAAGTCAAGGTGAAACTGAACAGTCAAATAATAAAAATAAGATTGCAGCAAATAATGTTTTTCGCTTCCAGATTCTAAGTTTCCTGCTTCATGGTCTGTTTCAAACAAATGGCTCCTTTTAATGTGGTTACTTTTCTTTCCCCCTCTATCAACAGAATGTACAGCCTGCAGAAGTCAGATTGCTTATTTTGGAAAACATATTTTAAATCCAACATATGACATTTATCTTCTGGTGGGAACATCAATTCAGTACAGAGTTGAGAAACTGAGGCAAGGGAAGATCACAGGTTTGTTCTATTTTCATTTATTTTTATTTTTTAATGCTTTGTGTGAATTTTTAACAGCTGAGAAATTTTTAATTGTGTTTAAACTACTATGTTAATGTTTAATACTGTTTTCCTAAGGCACACAGTGATAGAGCTGTTTAGTTCTTTCCGTCAAAAAAATTGTGACTCTTAAGAATATACTCTTGCAGATTTGTCAAGGATGTGGAGACAAGGGTAACTTAAAATGAGAGCTAACTAACACTGTCATTTTAGTTGTTGACAGTCACTAAGGAATTGACTGACTTTCTTGCTTAAATCAAATTTAGATTAGTAACTTTTCTAACAGAAAATGTTTTATTGGCAAAATGGATTTGCTCCACAAAGTGAAGCCTTTATAAATGTGGTTATTCTGGCTTTATGCCCGTTTCCAAAATGCAGTGCCTTGAGTTTTCTCTCCTTTTTTCCTTTTTTCCCTTTTGTCTTTTTTTTTTCTTTTGAAGCTGGAAATCAGTTGAATGTTAGGTCGAAATACTGAGATGACATTAGTTGGGAATTTGCAGTTTTCACAGACATTAAATTTGCCAAGAAAACTCGTTTTGTGTGTGTGATGTGAGGACAGAAGCACTATTTTTACAAGCCACTAGAAATATTGATTTCATATGTGCACTAGGCATCAGTAAAAAATAATCAGCAATAATTAGCAGCAGATAGCCACTGCCACACCTGCTTTTATTGTTTCCTATGTTTTGTTTTACATCCAGAAATAGCAATGCCATCAGAGCAGTACGAGCTGCAGCTCCAGAACAACATCCTCCATCCCAAGGAGATCCCTCCCCGCCAGTTGCCAAGCTGGACCAGGCAACATCCACTGTTGACTGCGTTGCAGCAGGGCCAAACCAACCTCATCCTGGTGCACCAAGAGTTCCTTCCTTGGGAATGCTTCTCCAGCCACCACTCTGTGGCAGGAGACAAGCTTTCCACCCTTGGCAACACAGAAGGATCAAAGTTATCCTTATTTGTATCGAGAGTCTGGAAATCAGAAGCTGTGGAAAGCAGCACTGCTGTGAATTCAGTCTCAGCACAGCTGTCTGATGCCTTGGAATGCTTACCAAATTAAGTTGGCCAAAGATCACTTAAATCATGTCTGTTCCCCTCAGTCACTGTAAGAAATGTATGGGGCTTTATTTAATGTTTACATTTCAGTCCTTATATTCTCTAGTGAGATCTCTCCAAAGTGCTCGCTGTCCTGCAGTGAAGTGGGGAGAATGTTTTATTTGCGTGCACACTTAGCTTTAGAATAGCCACAGAGGCTTGAGGAGTGCCATGAGAATGCTGCTCTTGGCTTGTGCTTGAACCATGTGTTCCTTGACTGAGCCGCAGGTATCCGCAGCAGGGTGTGTCCTGGCTGCCCAGCAGCACTGTCTGTGTGTAGCATCCTGCATATTTGGGTTGGTACTGCTGCAGTCTTCTGATTGAGTAATGCCAATTTTCTGGCCTGTTTCTGTGATTTTCATGCTGTATCTCCACGCTTCCGTTCAATGTTAGCTTTCACAGAAAAGGAATTTTATTCACAAAAGTAGCTCAGTGTGAAGATAGGTTTTTATGTACTTTCTTTTTATCTCTGTAGTCAGCAGTTTAAATAATGAATGTTCATCTGCAGAGTGTGGGCACCAGAAGCAAAAATGCTTTTCTCCATTAGATAAAGAGGCTGTTGGTTTGTGCTGTTCAATATTTCCTGTTTTGCAGGATTTACAGTTCATCCAGGTGACAGATGGGGTCTGGAAACGGGCAGACTTTTATGAAATTACAGTTGACGTGTATGATAAATCAAGCAATAAGGTGTATTTATCTGATGTAAGTTGAAATGTTTAGATACTTTTCTGTGACTGTCTCCTAAATCCTGACTTGCTTTGGAATTATTTGAGTGATTTCTTATTTACATTGAGACAGGACAGTGCAAAGCTTGTTGTTTCTTGCCTCTTCATTTTTTCCTTTGTTTTGTTGTTGTTACTTTTTAAAAATAAAGCCCTCTGGGTGATTCATGTGAAGTTATTGGAGGAGTCTGAAGTGCTGTAGGAAAAAAATGGAAGTTGGGCAATGTCTTTAAGGTTGGATGGGGCTTGGAGCAAACTGAAATCACCCAGTGCCACCCCTGCCATGAGCAGGGACACCTTCCACTGTGCCAGGCTGCTCCCAGCCCCAGTGTGCAGCCTGGCCTTGGGCACTGCCGGGGATCCAGGGGCAGCCACAGCTGCTCTGGGCACCTGTGCCAGGGCTGCCCACCCTCACAGGGAAGAGCTTCTTCCTTAATTCTATATACTAGGTACCAAAACCACACAATTCTTAAACTGCAGAGGAAACAAAATTTAAATAATTCAGTTGCGACAAGAAAAATTTTATTGAATTACTGCTTTTGAGAATATTGGAGCTAGGGGAATATTATTTTGCTGCGTCTCCCCCTCGAATACACGGGAACAAATCCCCTGTGGAGCCCGGCCAGCTGGGCAGTTGGGGTGAGGTGGGCAGAGGGAAGGAACTTCTCCTTGAATCCCAGGGGACTTGGAGAAGCTCCCACGTGAGTCCAAAGACAAGCTGGTCCCACAAGCAAAGCAAAGGGGCGCTCTCCCTCAGGATTAGTTCCAAAGTTTAATGAGGGCCTGGAGAGATCCCAGGCCACATCTGACCTTGAAGGGAATCCAGAGCAGAGAGAGAGTGTCCCAGCCCAGACCGGCCAGATATAGGGGGGTGGGGAAAACCTGACCAGCCAAAGGGGGAAGGACATGGGAGTGGGTCTCTGGGGGCCAGGCCTCAGAGTGACCACTGAGGCGGGGGTGAGGGAGGAGTCCCAGCCAGGGTCCAGTTACCTGGTGACCCTGGGAGAAGGGTCTGGACAAAGGGGAATGGTCAGCAGGTGATGGACACATCACCTGGGAGGAGACAGGGGGATGGGTTGGGGTTTGATGGACATACAGGTACTGATGGGAAAGCTGGGATGAACCAAACAGATACAAAGAGGGGATGCACAGTGCAAACACAACTCTACATCATTTTATTTGCCCATAATAGCTTTTTGGGATACAGATCTGAGTTTGAGCTAGAGCTCAGTAGTGTGCCTTTGAGACAGTATATTCATGTGTTCTTTTGTGTTGAAGAAGGAAAAAATTAGAAAAATACTGTAAAACATGAATTATTTAGTTGTATAAATATGGGTACTTTAATGTTAAATTACATGTTGCTGGTAATTTAAAAATAAACATTCTGTGTAGTTAATGTCTCTAAAGGTAAAATCTTACTGAAAGACTGAAACTTCCACAGGGAGAGTTCTAATCAGTTTCAGCAGCATGTCTTTGAACTGTGTTATTAAACATTTGCTTACTGACTTGTATGTTTAGGTCTTTCTGTCCTCCACTGATGTCAGTCACCTGTGGCAATTTCTGTTTCATGTTTTGGTTTTAGAATATCCGAATTACTACAGAGCTGTCCGGAGAACACTTTGAGGTGCTGCAGTCCTCTCTGAATGGGTCCTATCATTATGTGATGGCTGTAAAGGCAGGTCAGACCACGATTGATGCTGCACTGACATCAGTAGTTGACCAGGTGTGTCTTTGTGAAAACTCCTCTGCTTCACTGGTAGGCCTAAAATTAATTGAGCTGTGCAGTAGTGACTTCCTAGCAAAAGGAAACCTAAGAATTACATGGGTCTGAGCTGTCTTTGTTTGAACAGATTAAGAACCAAATTCTAAAATCCTTTCTTCATGAAAACTGTCAATTGAGTCTAAAGAGGATTTGCTTAAATTAAAGACTGTGGGATTTTGCTCCCGAGCATGTGGCAAACTCCTGTTAGGGCAGTGGTGCACAGCACTGATTTCTTTTCTTGTGGCAGATCCTTGTGCTGGGCAAGGGGCCTCTCACAGGCTGAGGGAATTTTACACTTTATTGTGGTAGGATCATCACTCATACCCTGACCTTGTTCTGCAGTCAGTTAGATTGGGGAAGTTTGCTATCAATTGGTAAGTGACCTTAAACTCTGGAATGACAATTTGCCAAACGTATCAGCCTGCACATTTCTCCAAATTAATATTCATTAACTTTCTGCTGGTTGGGCAGGCTGCTGAATGTATGGCTAACTAGGGTGCGTGGCGTGGAAGTGAATTGCTTTTGCTTGAAAATTCAACACTTGAACCCATTTGCTGTAAAATCAATTTAGTGATTCCTTGAGCAGGATTTAGTAGCTCCTTCAATGTGATACACCTCAGTCATTTTCTGTGTCAGAGATGTTCTCTTCAGTGGAAGAGCATCCCTTGAGAGTTGTTTTTCCCTCAGAACTGCAGCAACACTGTGTTGTGCCAGAGGGTCGTAGCACTGCAGTGACAGCAGAGCTGTGAAGGCCAATGTTTGGGAGGGAGGGCTGAGCAAGGGTGCTTTCAGGCTGAATTTTGTACACAGTGGGATGAGCAAAGAGTAAATATAGGTGTTGAGCCTCCAGATTGGTTCTCCAAGTGAGGTCTCAAAAAAGGAACAATGAAAGAGTATATTTTTTCTTGCCTTTTAAATTAATGTGGGCACCTGGATCTTCATAACAATAGCACTCATTTAGTACAGTGGCACACCTTGCTGCCAGGAGCTATTTGCTCACTAGGAGCTCTGTTCATAAGTGATCCTAAATAGTTTTCCTTCCTCTCTGAGGTGTTTTCAAGGACATGTCTGTACCTAAGGACTAAACATTAACTCTGGGAAGCTCTGTGGTGCCATTTATAACACCGTGGTTTTGCACTTTGCAGGATGGAGGTGTTCATACCTTCCCAGTTCCAGTGAGAAACCAGCAGGATGTGGAGATCTATGTTCCAATATTGCTTGTACCCAGCATTCTGATGTTTCCTTGGCAGCCAAAAGCAGGAGTCTACCAGTACACCATCCAGGTATGCCAAAGAAGTACCCAGCTGCTGGGTGTGTAACTCGGGCAGGCACACTGAGGCCTGACACCACTGAGCTAGGGCTGACTGTGGATACTTCAGGCACAGTGGCATCCAAAATGTAACTTGGAGGAACTTCATGGGACGTTAGTTACAGGAGTTAATATACAGTTTTAAAAAAGCACCAAGAAACCAACAAACATAAAATCCCACTGACTTCTACCTCTTGTCTTCCCTTCCTCTCTCCCTCATGCATGCACCACGCACCTATGCCTGGAATGGTTGGGAATTCCAGGAGCATCCTATGTGCAAAGATCCACAGCAATCATTAGAGGCTGCCCTTTGCTGGCAAGGTTGGGAAATATGAATGGGAGTGTGGAGTGACTACAAAGAAGGGCATGACAAGATAAATTAGCAGCACTCTGCCAGCCTTGGACATCAGTATTCCTCACTGGCCACACACCTTGTGCTCCTAATACAAAGTTCCAGGGAGGCAAAGGCCACAGCTTATTTGCAGAAGGGATGATTTCCATGTTTACTAGGTGTGTCTTTGCTCCCAAGCTGTCAGTTATTCCTTTTGCTTCATGAAGCAAATGGTTTGTATGCCAGTATCCAGTATCTCCAGTCTAAGTAGGGAAAAGAAAGTTGTGCTTTCTCAGCCCAGACTCTTATCCCAGGCCAGTGATACCCAGACCCTGCACTCAGGTGTTGGATGCACAACTCCTACCTCTCCCTTTTAGCATAAAGTAGTGCTCAGTGTCGGATCTGTGTTAAGTAAACTATATGCAAATAGGCAGCAGGACACTTGGTGCCAGGCTCTTCTCCCAGGTAACAAGGGATAGGATGAGAGGAAACATCCTCATGTTTAGATTGGATATTAGACAAAGTTTTTTTCACAGGAAGAGTTGTCAAGCCATGGCACAGGCTGCCCAGGGCAGTGGTGGAGTCACCATCCCTGGAAGGGCTCAAAAATTATGGGGTATGGGACCTGAAGACAGTGGTGGACTTGATAATCTCAGAGGTCTTTTACAGCCTTACTGATTCAGTGACTCCATGGAGAGAATCAATCTCACAGGATTAAATTGCATTCTCCAGTGTAAGTCTAAGGGCAGCTACACTGAGTTAAGCCCTGCATAACTCTACTTGTCTGTTCTGTGGGATTAGTTTGGTTTACTTCATGCTATTCCTGACCACACCAGCAGAGTGTGGTAAAAATTCTTAGTACTAAATCTGCATTTGCAGTACTTCATAATTCTGCTGGAGTTTTCCCAGTAAAGGAAAGGAAATGTGGTTTTGTTTCCTACCTCTTTCACAGTTCTGTTCTCACCTTATCTTGCATATATAATGAAGTATTTCACTAGAGAACATTCCTTCATGGTACTGCAATAATTGTCTTGCTGTTCTTACTTTACTCTGATGTTTTTCTATAAAAACATAGAAACTTTTTTCTTCCAAGATTTAAATTTTGCTGAAACTGAGACCTTTCTTCTAGCCTCTAGATTCCACAATACAACTGGTCGACAGCATACACACAGCTCAACTGTTCCTGCCTCTCCATCAGAGTTTGCCTCCCACTGCATAGCTTCAGTCAGGCTATTTCAAATGGGTGAATAAAGTTTTTCTGAAAATAAATTGAAAGGGATTTTTGGATCTAGCCAAATTCTGTTTATAGCCGAAGTAAATCCCTCCAGATGGTACCAGAATGCCTGGCAGGTTTTCCTTTGGCAGCTGTCTGGTTTGTTGGGGGTTGCTGTGTTCATATTTGTGCCAATGAGATGGTTTCTGTTGCCCTCCTTCGGCGCACGCATGAGAGGTGCAGTGCAGCTGTGCGAGGTGGGCACCTGGAGGTTCCTGGGGAGGGCACTGCTCCCAGGTAGCAGTGTGGAGCTCCCTGCCAGGCTCTGGCTAATGGTGAAGCTGCATGGGAAGCTGCTTTACCCTTCCTCTCCTCAGTGCATACTGACTGTCAGAGACAGAAAGTGTAGTGAGGCGTCTGGGGTTTATGGCAGGGACCTGAGTCTTCATAGTTATTAAGAATTGGGTATTTCTGTTTTATGTTTTCTGCTCATCTCCCTGTTTCAGCTGAAACACCTTTACAAATATGCTGAGCCCTTGGATTCTTTCAGCCTTTCTCACCACATCCCATGCATCTCCTGTAACACACCTCTGCCTGTTTATTTGTCTGTGTCCTTCTGTAATCAGATTGTGCATGTGCTCCAAGAAAGGAAGAAGGGAAATGACCCTCCTCTTCATTTCCTTTTTTTTCTCTTTCCCTGGTAAAAATTACTAGCTAAGCTCCTGCATAATTTAGATTTGTTTGTTTTCCACACTGTCCCTCTAGAGAAGATTTATCACCTTGTTCATTTTTAATTATGAAATAGGTTAAAGGAAATGCTGAGGAAGTTAAAGAAATTAAAACAATATACATTTTAAAATGGCTCCAGTGTTCACCCGTGTTTTACTGTGATGGAACTTTTGACATTTGTTTTGGTGTGTGAAAGAAGCTGAAATTTAAATGAAAGGTAGAAATCTTCTCATCTCTCTATTGCTTATTAAGTTCTGAGGTGTTATTTTATTTGTATGTCCTATTCTCAGTGCATTCCTGGTTTTCACGCAAGATATCCAAAGCTGTGGAATGTGAAAACCATGTACTTGATTAAATGTTTGAAAGATTTTTCCCTCTGTATTTTAGGCTCAGGGTGGAAGTGACAACTTCAGCTGGTCCTGTTCTAACCAGGCAGTAGCCACAGTGACCGTGAAAGGAGTGCTGAGCACGGGGAGCGATGCTGGGGTCAGCATTATTCAGGCGTTCAACGTGCAGAATCCGCTGCTGTATGGTGAAATGAAGGCAAGAGATTAATTGTTCAGTGCTTGTTCTTGAATGTGGCTTTTGGAAAGAGCAAAGACACTGAGAATGCCATAGGCAATCCCCTTCCACTTCCTGCCCTGTGGCAGGTTAAGTGATCTGTTTCAGTTTGTGCTTTAGGGAATCCAGCACTGTCCAGTGCATTAACTTGACTCCCATTTTTGCCCCTTCCTGATTTCCTTGGCAAGCCTTTTTCCCTGTTGGAAGTTTTAAGTGCAAGAAGGAAATGGTAATTAACTCCTGGCCTGGCCATCTAGGCAGACAAGCCAAACTAAAAAGTCATTCTGTAGGGTGATAGGAGGGTGTTCTCCCTTGATACCAAAGGGTGACAGTTGTTATCAGGATGTACAAGGAAATTTCTGTCTGGAGAAGTACCTGAACTGAGCACTGTGCTGCAGACGGACTGCAAATACCTGAGTTGGCCAAGAAAAAACAGTACTTTAGGAAAATTAGGAGAAAATGGCAATAAAAAACATAGCTCCTAAGAGGGATTTTGTGGTGTCCCTGCAGACCATCCCTTGTTCTTAGGTCCTGGTGGTCAGTGTGTGTGGTTTGGAGTGAGGAGAATGCAGGAACAGTACATCTGGTGGCCCCAAAGGGAGGGGTGTGACATTAATTAAAATCTGTTCAGAATTTAGCTTACACACTCGCTCTGAAATAATTCTCTGAACAGCCTAAGATGCTGCTTTTTAGCAGTGCAACAGTTACCATCTGGAGACACAGGGAGGAAGATTTTTTCAGTTAAAACTTCTTATCCTCAAACATAAGTCAAAGCCTGAAGACAGAAAGAAACCTTCTGACCATGTGAGCTTTCAGAGCAGTGTATTGCACAATCTGAATAGGTTATTTTTGAATGCTTTTTTTCCTGTGTTAGGAGCTGCTTTCTGTGTGGAACAGCTCTTCAGAGTTCTGTTTACTGTGGTAGGTAAGGGACAGGCGAGCGGAAGATTACGGGGTGTCACGGAAAGACAGACCCATCCCCCTCTCTCTCTCCCCCATGCTATCTTCTAACTCCAGAAGCCTCAGAAGAATGCAGCCACACCTGCCCTGGTAAAATTCCACTACCCGACAAACCCCTAAGACCCCCAACCCCCCTCTGACGTAGCAAAGACCCCTAAAAACTATTTAAACCCACGAGATAGGATAATAAACGCTTTTCAACCGTCTGCCATATTGGTGTCTGCGTCTGTTGATTAGCCCGAGCAGCTCGGCCGAGACCAGGCTGCCGTGCTGTTCCCTGAACCAGGTCCCTGGTTGTCTTTTATAAAGGCAACATACTGGTGCCGAAACCCGGGACAAAAGAAGAAAAAAAAAAGGAAAAATTTGCCCGGCTGACGGGATACACCTAGACAGAAGCAGCGGCCGGAACGGTCGGACCGTATCTAGGCGTAGGGGAGACGTCCCCGGGGCCCGCGAGCGTCATGGACAGCGTCGCATGGGCCGTGAGTATGAAGCAATGGAATATCGCGTTTAAGCTCAGGGATTTTATCTTGCTATAGCAAGGCTGCCTGAGCTTGGAGCAACCGAATGCTCAGTGGATGCTATGCATCCGGGAATATGGGAACAGTGTACAGCCACGCTAGCCGGGGAGGCGAAATCCTCAGACAGTGGCAAGAGCGTTACGGCACGGGGCAAAGTAGAAAAAACCCCGCGCAAGGCAATAGAAAAGCAAGAGACGCAGAGTGCAGTGCGTACGTGTTTATTAGTTAGATCCGGGCTCGGGACGGGAGCGAAAGCGCAGACCGTCCCTGAGGAGGGTCCACCCGGGACCGGAGACCCGGAGGGGCTCAGCGCGGCACCCCCTCCCCCGGATCAGAGCGCAGCCCGGCCCCGCCGCGGAGCTGAGCCCAGCCCAGCCCGGCAGAGGCAGCGCAGCCCCCGGGGCGGCGCGTTCCGAGTGGCGCGGACCCGCTCCCGCCGGAGCGTGTTCCGAGCGGCGCGGCTCCGCTCCCGCCGGGACCCGGACCCGCCCGCGGCTCCGCGCCGCTTCCCCGCCGGCGTGCCGAGCGGAGCGGCACCAAGCCCCGCCGCAGAAACCCCCCAAGACACCCCCGCCGCAGAAAACCCCCGGGAAACCCCCGCCGCAAAAAAACCCCAAGAAACCGCAGCTTCCCGAACCGTCCCGCCGCCGCCGCCGATCAGAGGTCCGTTGCCGGAAGCGCAGCCGCGCGCGGAGCGCTTTTGGCGGGGGCTGGCGGAGGAGGCCCGAGACGCAGAGGCCGCGGCCCGGGAAGGCACGGCAGCGTGGCCATGCTGCCGCCTTGAAAATGGCGCCGAGGGCAGCAGAGAGGGGCGAGGCGCAGGCGGTCCCGGCGCGAAAACTCAGAAACCGCGCGATCTTGGGAACGCGCGTGCGCAGAAGAAAGGGGCGGAGAGCGGCTCAGGGCACAGAGCCAATCAGCGGCCGCGCCAGGCGCCGCCACCATATAAGGGAAAAACCACCCCCCGCGAAGGGCGCGGCGAGCCCGGGGGGCGGGAGCGGCCCCTCCCCCGCGGAGAGGAGCGAGCTCGAAGCCGAACAAAACGGCGCGGAGCCCCGGAAGTGCCCTGGCATTTGACTTCCGGTGCGGAGCCTGGCAACGGCTCTGCCGGCTCGGAGGAGCCGGTGAAAGCCGGCCGGGACTCTAAAACGAAGAGAACAAAGCCATCGCGATTCAAAACAAAACCGAATAGAGTTCTAAGCCGCACCGAAAAACAGTCACAATACCCCTTAGAGCTGCGGAAAAAAGAGCATCTCGCCAAAAAATGCAGGTCCCAACCCCCGGACACACGGGGGGGGGGGGGGGGGGGGAGCGCGCGGGCGAACTCAGCCCCCTCCCACTGCAAGCGGCGCCCGTGCCACAGAGTCAGCAAGAGACGCCCCGATACGGGACCCCGGGGTAACCCTGGCCATGAAAGTGGGGAGAAAGCCCCCGGGGATGTGTGGGACGTGCTGCCTCTGTAGCAGTCGGGACCCCCACGTGGTGAGACTATGAGAGCCACTGCTGCACACCACTGCTACCAACCGAACCTGACCCTCAAAACAAAACTAATAAGAGGTTGTAAGTTCTGTTTGCAGGACATGCTTGTGGACCGTCCCCGTGACACAGACACCCCTCCTCCAGAAAGAGATGACAGACCACCAAACTGCCAGACAACACCTGAGAATCCCACAGTAGTGAAATCCAAACATGCACAGTGTCTTTCTTCATGCAATTTTGCTGTTTAAAAGCTTGTGGCCAAAAAAACAAGCTAGCCCAAGCCACTACCCTCATCAGCTATTTAAGTAGGTCGTGCAACAAGTAACAAGGTACTCAAAAAAGTCACCATAATAAATACCCCATCCTTCGTGTTCCACATAGCCAGCCTGTTTAGAAGCTACCTTACTAACCCTAAATGAAACCAAATCAAACCTGACTAACCCCTATTAGTTTTGCTATGATATTAAACCCCCTTTTCTACGAAAGCAATGCTTTAGATACCCCCTTCAGTTACTCCACAACCAGTACCCCCCACCAGTACAAGTGAGACACTCCCCACAGAAAACCAATAAGTAAATAGTCCCATCCACATTTAAGATGTAAATTTGCCAGAAACCCAGAATGAATCCTTATATGTTCCTTGCCAAGTTTAATAACTCTATCGATTTCTGTGTTCAAGTTCTGATTGTTTCTAAAGTCCTACATCACTCAGACGAAGAGGTATACCACCTTCTCGAAGAACCTAACAGACTCCACAAAAAAAAAATCATCACAGGTATAACCATCGCAATGCTGCTTGGCCTAAGAGCAGCTGACACAGCCACGAGTGTCTCAGCCATCGCAACCCAACAACACAGACTCTCTCAACTGCAAATAACCATCAACGAAGACCTGCAGAAGATCAAAAAATCCACCTCCTACCTAGAAAAATCAGTCTCTTCGCTTTCAGAAGTAGTTTTAAAAAAAAATCTACCCAAATCTACTAAACCACCCTTTCCTTAACAAGTTGCAAGTTTGTACCTCACTCCAGTGCCTATACCTACGACTACCTCATTTTGTATGTAATAAGGAGGGGGGAGATGTGGTAGGTAAGGGACAGGCGAGCGGAAGATTACGGGGTGTCACGGAAAGACAGACCCATCCCCCTCTCTCTCTCCCCCATGCTATCTTCTAACTCCAGAAGCCTCAGAAGAATGCAGCCACACCTGCCCTGGTAAAATTCCACTACCCGACAAACCCCTAAGACCCCCAACCCCCCTCTGACGTAGCAAAGACCCCTAAAAACTATTTAAACCCACGAGATAGGATAATAAACGCTTTTCAACCGTCTGCCATATTGGTGTCTGCGTCTGTTGATTAGCCCGAGCAGCTCGGCCGAGACCAGGCTGCCGTGCTGTTCCCTGAACCAAGTCCCTGGTTGTCTTTTATAAAGGCAACAGTTTACTGACCTCAGTGAGTAAGTTTTTAGTAGTAGTAGTTTTAGGAGTAGTTAATCCACACAGATTACAGCTTTAATTCTCTCCCATATAGTTTGGTATCCTGAAGCCAGTTGCAGAAGTAGTTAAGATCCTGCAAATAAAAGCTGTGATTGCTATGAAATCTCTGGTCTGAGGTAGATTCTTTAATGGACAATAAACCTCTCCCAGCTGGTGATGATACCCCCTGGCGATAGCACACCACAGTCCGCACTTCAAAGTCAGTAAAGCAGAAGAGAGAATGACAGGAGCAGCAGTAAAAGGGAAGCTCACCAAGCTGCTGTGGGCTTGGGCTGGCGTGGAGCAGAGCAGTGACCCAGCCTGTCCCTGTTCCTTCCCTGGCAGGTGTACGTGAGCGAGCCCAGCGCCATGGAGTTCACTTCCTGCCAGGTGAAGGCACACGTGGGGCAGGTGCTGGAGCTGCCCCTGAGGATCAGTGGCCGGACCAGCGTGGACAGGGGCGAGCTGGTCCCCCTGAGTGACTGCTCACAGCTGGAGCTGGGGGTGGAGCTGGAGAACCCTGGCGTGTTCAGCCCACTTGAAGGTGCTTTAACTCCCTCCCTGGTTTGGAAGTTAAATTGGTGACAGGTCACACCTCTCCCAAGTCACACTTCTCCCTTAAATCACTGATTCATAGTTCTGTACAGTATCCCCACAGAACTGCCAACCTCAGAGGGGAGGGGGTCTGAGTAGTTTTATGTTGAGGATATATCTGCTTTTTTATGCAGAATGGTTTGATATGGAGAGACATTAAAAGTTCTTCCGGCCCCACCCTCTGCAATGGGCAAGGACACATTTCACCTGTCCCAGGCTGCTCCAAGCCTTGTCCAGCCTGGCCTTGGACACTTTCAGGGATCCAGGGGTAGCCACAGCTTCTCTGGGCACCCTGTGCCAGAGCCCTACCACTCTCTCAGCCAAGAATTCTTTCCCAATATCCTATCTAAACCTTTTCTCGTTCAGTTTGATGCCGTTCTCCCTTGTCCTGTCCCTACATGTCCTTGTAAAATGTTCTCTCCATCTTTCTGGTAGGCAGCCTTCAAACAGCTGTGTTGAATTTGATGAACAAGCCTGGGCATTTCTTTCCAAATAAGCTCTTGTATATTTTTAATTTATCTGACAGGAAGACTTAAGCCAACTGCTGATTTTTGCAGTGGAGTGAGACTGAAGGCTGAATTTCAGGGGTACACCAGGCTGGTGGTTGTGTACACCCACCGGCACGTGTGCCTCAGTGCCAGCATCGCCATCGCCACTTATCTCCTGCTGAGAGTGAGTCTGCTTCCTCTGCTCCTGGAGAGATCCAGGATCCAGCACTGAAGCACCTTTACATGAGAGGGAGCAGGTTATGCAAGGAATAAGTTTGAAAAACTGAGGTGGGTGGGTTTACATTCCACCACTGGCTGGTTCAGTGAAGAAAATAAGAAAGAAGCTGAGTCCAGGGTCAGTAGATGGAAATACAGAAGAGGCTGCTTTGTTGCCTCATCTGCAGAAGCCTAGCACTGACTGCAGGCTGAAGTCTGAGTATTTCACATAGCTTTCCTCAATATGGAAAAAATGTGAGTGCAAATACTACAGATTTGTGTTTATAATGAATGTAATATGATGTTGTGAAACACAAACTGGAAAGGTTTTTGTGCACTAAATGTCGGGTTAACTGCTGTGGTGGTGAACAGCACAGGCTGTCCCAGGGATGCACATCAGTGCAGAATTTGTTAGACAGGTTTGAAGTAAAACTTGTGTAGGAGAATAACTACATACACAGAATTGCTCTGGAGAGAGCACTGGCAAGTGAAAGTACAATTTGATGTAATTTCATCCATTTTAAATACTTCTTTAAAAGTATAGCAGAATACTATCTCTCTGTGCTCAGAAGAATATATTAAGGGTCTCCCTTTTGCTGTAATTCTTCGTGAGAGAGATGTGATTAAAATGCAGCTAAAACTTGTCTTTGGATCCGTTGCTTCCTTTGAATCTAATCCAGCTGGACAGAATCCTTGTGGATTTTGGTGCAGCTCTGTTTTTCACTAAGTGTGCTGACAAACCACTGCATGGGAGAAATCACAGCCTTATCCAAGTAGAGCTGTTCCATTCAGAAGGAGGTTTATTTTGCAGAGCACAACCAAACAATTTTCAATTAATGAATTGATTACAGGCTATTCATCCACCATCAGTCGCTTTAGTGACTTTGGGTTCCTCTAAGGATATGTTGTTTGAAGGAGGACCGAGGCCATGGGTCCAAGAACCTTCCAAGTTCTTCAGGAACATTGCTGCTGAGGATGCAGAAAGCATTGCCTCCTCTTTACTTGAACTTCCCACACCTCGAAACAGCAACTAGCACCGGGTTAGGGTGCTGTGCAGGAGCCTGGGAGAGCAGGTGAGTGCCAGAAGGGCTTGCTGTTGCCCTCCATCAGGTGCTGAGAACTGGCTCCAGACAGATTTATGGTGCCATATGCCTGTTACGTAGCTAGATGCTTTTATAATGAGCCAGTAAAGAACTTGGGTAAGTACGTCGTTTATGCATTTTGATGCAGATTTTAGAGTGAGGATTTCACAACATTACATTAAAAGTGGTTTATGATGGGTTTATTGCAGTATAAACCCAAGTTGTGGAAGCCTTATGTTGTGGGATGCATTGAACATCCTAATGAGTGCAGGTTCAGTTTGCATGAACAGGATCAGAGCAGAAGGTTACTGAGCAGGCTGACTTCTCTGTCTGACCTGCTCCTCTTAACTGTGTTACCTTCCAGTGTAATTCTGTTTATTCTAACAAATGGCAGCCCCAGGAATTGACTGCTCTACTCTCTGTGCAGCCTTGGTGAGCATGACTGTGCTCATTTTCCACTTGGTTTTGTTCTCTCCAACATACAGAAGTGATTTCTCCTGCTTTATTCACCCTCCTCAGCCCATGAAGCTTTTAGCTTCAGTATAGTATTCTTCTGCAATTCTGCAAGGCTTAAGCATTTTGGTTGGGCTGCCAAGTTCCACTGATTTCCTCAGTGGACACTTTGCAAAGTGGAGCTGTTCCTGTCAGTGCAGATTCCAAAGGAGAAGGCCTTGGTGTTGATGTGCAGGTCTGTGCAAGGCTGGCTGTCCCCAGCACATCACACCTGCGTGGCTCTGCCCAGCACCAGTGCGTGGGGGGATGGGGCAGGTGACCAGAGCTGTCTCAGCCTTCTCTGGTTTTATATCCACTTCACTTTGCTGAAGGCTAAAAAAGGAGTGTAAAATAAAAGATAAGATGTTTTTAAACACACTGAAGTGACTATAAATGTTGCCTTTGGGCTGTTCTGTTCTCACTCTGCAAAAACACCTGCTGTTTCCTTTCTCAGTTGCATGAGATTTGTTGTTTGAATCAAATTTGATAGTAATGAACATGAACACCGAGGAAAGAGTTCCCAGGAACAGTACTTTCATAGTGATAAAGAATTGTTCTTGAGATGTGCTCCCTCTTTTGCATCTTCCTATGTCTTAATAGTGCTGTAAATCCCCAAGCACTGTATTTTTGCTTTTCATTCTGATATCATTGTGTAACTGAGACTTGGGGAAATACAGCATGCCTGAACTAAACTCTTTCCTCATTTGCTGTTTTCAGGTTATTACCTTAACAGTTGGGAACAGCCCCACAGTCACCAACCCTTTCCCAGTGGTTGAGCCCGCTGCCGTGAAGCTCATCTGTGCTCTCCCTTCCCGGCTGGCTTTGATTCCTGTTTATGGCAGCCCTCAGCTTGCTCTCTCCTGCCCTTTGCTCCAGCAGAGCAAGCAACTGGTAAGCCTGGGAAGTGGCAGGAGAAGAAGGTGTTCTTACAGCTGAAAAATCAGTGTTTGGAGCTCCATGTGTGAAACATGGCAGCTGCTGCAAGAGGAGCAGTAACTGGTGCTGTGGCCACACTGTGCCCTTGGGGGCCCCTGCACAGAGCAGGCTGGGGGAGTCCTGCAGTAAATGGACAATAGATATGTGTAGATTATCAGGCATAAGGAACTTTGCTATTGTGTTTTTCTTCCTAACGGGTGTCGTCACATGTTGGCTGCTGAGTAAGCCACATTTTGTTGTGTTAATATTCCCTGGCAAATGTAAAACTCATCCTCCTTCCCTAAAATGAATCATTTTAAAGAGCTTCTATGTAATAACAAGAGGAGATGGAGACTTTTGTGTATTGTTAGCCACCTCAGAGCTCACCTGCTTTTCTGGCTCCATTATGTGTCAGCTTATCTTGGTGCACTGCTGTTGCTAATGCATTTCACCAGAGCAACACCAGAATTTTGGGCTTTAACAAAGAGCGGTGTTTGTCATCATTTATTTGAATTTTAAAAACAATTTCATTGAGCTGTGGTTCAATTTCGTTGTTGTTGGTTTGGGAATTTATTTTTTTTAAGGTAATTCACTGGCGAAAAAAACCCCAAACCCATGCTCCAGTAAAACCCTGTTAGAGTTCAGATATTCACAGAATGCTCTGAGTTGGAAGGGACCCAAAAGGATCATGGAATCCAACTCCAAATGGCCCATACAGGACTTGAACCTGCCTGGTGTAAGCAGCACTATGGTCTGACCAGATGAGATAATCTCAGGGCTGTTGGAGCACAGCTGAATGCCTTGCACTGATGGCTCCTTTTAACAAACATTCCTTATGCATTGATGTTGTAACAAACCTCATGGAACTCAGCATATGTTTTCTTTAATGATTAAAAAATCCCGTTGTATCTGTTCAGTTCAAAATATTCCTTCTTTTTCAGGTTCCTGTTTCCAATTACCGCAATCCAGTGCTGGATTTGGCTGCCTATGACCAGCAAGGCAGGAAATTTGATAACTTCAGCTCCCTTAGTATTGTGTGGGAATCCACAAATAAGGCCATTGCTCGTATTGAGACGGAGCTGCCAATGGAGCTGACTCTGAAGGAGGAGGGCAATGGTCAGAAGAAAATGCAGGATATGAGTGGGCTGAAATGAGCATTTCTTTGTTTGAAGGTCCAGATTAAATCTGTTTGGCAGTGTCTCATCTTGATTAAAGAAATTACTGTAATCTGCAGTCATACTTCAGTTTAACATCAATGTGCACTTTTTAGTGTGTGCTATTAAAGAGAGGAGAAAAAAGGAACCAAGTCCAATGTCTAGAACCTGTCTTGAGAGAGAAAGTTCTTGTCTGATGAGAATGAGCCTAGAGGAGCTGAATGTATTTCTCATCTTTGTTGCATTCTAGGCTTACAAACTGTGGTAGTTGACCATGAGTTTGGAACTGCTGCCATCTCTGCCACTGCCACTGGATTCCAGCAGCCCCACCTGAAGGCAGCCAGAGCCCAAATACCGGTAACAGTACCTGGGGGGATTTGCCATTTCCCTGTGGTCAATGCCCAGTGTTCTGGTGGCTTTATTTCCTCCACACACAGTACTGTACAAATCAGGCAGCTCCCTGGTGCAGTCCGGTTCATTCTGCAGAGATTTGATACTGGTTCATGGTTTTCCTGCTTTCCTCTGCACTAGGTGCTGCTATCCAAATCAAATTTGTCCAAGTCCTTGGGAGTTTTTTAACCATCTGAGCAAGGGCATTACAGAGAAGTGTTTCAGTTGGTTTTGTTTCAGTTTAGGGTTTTTTAAGAATTGGTGAATCTCTGCTGCTTGTCCTTCATTAAAGCAGCCATGTGCTTCATGCAGCTGTCTCTGGGGAAAGCAAATGGATTATTGCCCCTGCAGAACTGGGTGGGAAAGTTCTGCATGAGCAAAGCAAAAGCTGACTGATTCCTCATATGGACCATATGTTAGGCTGGGCTCTGACTGATGCTCTCTTTTTTTTTGTCCTGATGCCAGCCGTAAACCCAGGCTCTCATTTTACAAGTCATTAGCCACTCCCTGAGATACTTAGTGTGTAGATATACAAGCTAGGGAAGAAAAACAGTAAAAGGTAATGATGATGAACAAAGAGGGCAGGTGTAAACAGCTGGCAGTTTTCTGTTTATGTCACTTTTGTAAGCTGAATATAAGGGCAGGTTTCAGCCTGTGGAATAACCTGACATGTGCAATAACTGACTCTTAAAATATTCTGCTTCCTAACTGGAATTTCTGTTTAATCTTGTTAGCAAGATTTAAGTGGATTTGAACTATATGCAGTACCTTGAAAACATACTTGAGGCAAAAAGTTAAATATGCAATGAGAGGTTACAGGATTTAACTCAAAGCAGGTATCAGATGGGTACCAGTAATGTGAAATACTCTGTGGGCCAGGTTCTTCTCAGCTTGGCCCAGGTGTGGCATCTGCTTAGTAAATTCTTTGAGAGGTGATCTTTTTTGCCACTTGGTTCTTGACTTTTCTGTGAGGTTTCCACTCTTCTCATGTTGGGAAAGCATGGTGCAGATGTATTTCCCGTGAAGAATTTGACTATGGCTTAATGAGAATTACCACAGAGACACAGTTACTTTGCTGCTGAAGTTAAGTTATTTGAGATATTTGTTTGTGTTACTTTTTTTTTTTCTCTCTTAGAAATTGAGCTGTAATATGGATACTTGATGTTCTACAATTATTTTGTAGTTCACTGTGCTCTGCTTTGTTAAACCAGTATTATATATTCTTTCTTACTTTTCGAAATAATTAGTAAAGAGACTGCTCTAAACTTTGCCTTGAGTTCAGAGAACACTGGCATATTCTTAAGTTCTATTCTCTGTGTTTAAATTTAGGAGGATTCTGTAGATGCCAGTCATGCTGCACTTTGTGGGCTCATGAATGAGTTTTTTTTTAAATGAGGTGACCTGGGTGCATTTTTCAAGTACATCAGCAATGGGCTGCTCTGTTCTGCTTTCAAACCTGCCCATTCTCCTTTCTTGCAGCCAAAAACACAAACAGAAATCTAGTAGATGGGATATTAAGATGTCTTGACTGTTCCATGTTTTAGTGGAACACCCTATTATGTCATTAGGGAAAGATCACATCCTTTCTACATCAAGGAAATAATTCTACTAATGAGGTGAAATGGGTACAGAGTACTGACTTCCTCTAGAAATCTTTTTCCTTTTCTGAGCTAATGTTGTTATGAGTGAGTGATGAAAGCTGCATTTGGTCCAGTATTCATGTACTTACACTTAAGGAAGAATTTCTTTTGGTGGCCTGCTAAGAAGCATGGAAAGATGAGTTAGAGCTAGAACACTTTGTGCATTTTCCTTATCATTCTGTATGAACTTGGGCCGTGGCTCAGAGTTAATACCCTGTCTGTTCTTGTCAGACATCATTCACTGATCCTGCAGTGCTGGGCCCTTGTCCTCTGCCTTGGCCAGGGGTGCAGAACAGAGCAGCCCTGAGGATGCCCTTCCCTGTGCTGACTGACTGAGCCCTCTGGATCTTGTGGGCATCTCATCCCTCAGCCTGTGCTCTGAGCTTTGGTTGCCTGCTTTAAACATCCTCCCTGCACACACAGGACTCTGGCAGTGTTGTGCCTCTTTCTGTAACTGCTAACATTGTTCTTGCAGCACGAGGCTGTGCTCCCAGGGCCTGCCACCATTGAAGTGATGCTTGTGGAAGATGTGAAAGTGAGCCCCACTGGGCTCTCCATCTACAACCACCCTGACATCCAGGTGAGGAGTTACTCTGCTGCTTTCCAGCTGCAGGGAGGAAAACATCACACATTACAGGGGGTGTGTGAGGAGACAGCTTTACTGGAAAGATACAATCTTAATTCAGGATGCTTTTCTGGTTTTGCAGGCAGAACTTCTCCTCCAACAAGGTTCTGGATATTTTTTCATTAATACCAGTGTGCCAAATATTGTAAGAGTGACACATGAAGAGACTCAAGGCATTGCTTTGGTGAGTGCAGTATTTTGTGGTTTTACACCTTTTTGCCAACCAGGTTATTGTTCTGCAGCTTCAGCACTCCTGGGCATTTTGCAGCAGGTGTGAATAGAGAGGCAGTAGCTGCATTTTGGATGTGTTTGCCTGTCACGGTTGTGCTTCAGGCAGGGGATCTTTGCACTGGCACTTTCTGCTCTAGTCTCAGGTACAGGAAATTGTTTCTTTACAGCTTTGATGCAGTTGTGTTCCCTGTATAAGGTAAAAGCCAGTTCCAAGTACTTCACCCATTACAACTTTGTAGTAAAATGTTCCTGATTTCACAAACACACCACAAAGAGTAACATGACAGAATTATTCAGAAGCTACCCATAAGATTAATTGGTTTCCAAAGTAATACTGGAGTATTTGCTGTGGGCCAGTAGTTCTGAAGGTTTCAAATTCTTCTATCCTACAGTGTTGTTTCAGGGTATTTTAAAATCACAGTATTGCATCCTGGTTTTGTGAATGAATATTTATTAAAGAGTTTATTCTGATCTCCATATGAAGTTTCTAATGCACTTTTCCACTAGAAGATGCCAATAAAGTGCAAGTGTGCTTGACTTCATCAGGCCTGGGATATGAAATGCATTCTGCAGTGAACACCAATAAAACTCTGTGTTTGCATTGCTGCTTTCATTAGGAAAGAACTTGAAACAAAACAAGTTGCTCTAAAGAGTGGTTTTTATAAATGTATCAATTACAGGTTTGTCTTTTAAAAAGTAATGCTGATAAAGTTGTGAAATAGTGATAACTAAGGTGGAAATTAGAATATCAAAAGAATTGATGGAACATCTTAATTGTCTCTAACTATTTTAAGTGTGAGGTGGGAATATTTTTTCCAACTAGGCACAGAGGTGAGAAAAAAAGTAAAAGAGATGAGGAGTTTTTTGTACATAGTACACTGTTCAAACTCTTAATAGTTTTTTAGTCCGGTCTCCCTGATGGGTTTAACTGATGTCCATGAGATAGGTTCAGTGCTCTTGTCTGGAATTCAGGAGTGGAGCAGTGACAGCAAGACAGGCTTTGTGAAGTGTGGGAAGAGATTTAACTGCCTGTCAGATTAAAGGAGAGAGAAGTCCACATTAAACACATTTTTTAAAAAACGCAACCCCACACACATTTGGCAGGTTTGTTAGCCCTGTGTGCTGTGCTTGGGTTCCATCCCAGTACAAGCCCTGGGTTTTTCCATGGAAGCAGCAGAATGGCCTGGGAAATCAGCAGGCTCTGTAAGGCTGCTGCCATGGCAGGTACCAGTGCAGCCAAGTTGACAGAGGATGAGTTGGCAGTAAACTCTTGTGAGAAACTAAATTCAACTTATCTGGAGCAGTGATTCTCAGACTCTTCAGTGGGACTGCCAAGGAGGAATTCTGTAGCTCTCCCTCTGGTTTTGACACAGCAGCTTCTCTGGGCATGGGTGGGTGGTAGCAGGGGAAGAGTGAAGAGTGGCCACCAGTGCAATATCCCTGGATACTGGGAGCCACTGGGCACATAATGGGAGAGGAGAACAGCAGAGTTTGCTGAGACAGGAAGAGTTTTAAGAGTTGCAGTAGCCCTGTTTGCCCTTTTCCCTGTTTGCTTTCTCTGGTCTCCCAGCCCAGCTGAGCTCCATTCCAGCTCCCTCCCTGTGCCACTTCCCCTGCCCTGCTGCCCAGCCCCTGTGTTAGCCACCCTCTCTGGGAACTGCTGCTGTTCTGGAAGCTGACCTTTATTAAAACTTCACATCCCTTTCTATTTTGAGGCAGAAACAGGAGTAGTGCCCTCACAGAACAAAATGTCAGCTTTCCCCACTGCTCTGCTGCTGGCTCCTGTGGTGCTGCTGGGCAGAGCTGAGAGTTCACTGAGCTCCCGTGCACTGGGGGGCCTGTCCATCTCCCCTTGTTCAGAGTCCAGAGCACACAGCAGGACACCCGACTTCACTGCTCCCTGGCCAAAGGGAGCAGAACAGCTGGGATTGTCCTGAGGTCTGTGACAAGGTCAGGGAGTTGCAGGAGAACTGCAGAGCTGATGTGAGGAGCAAGGTGTGGCTGCATGGCCTTGGCAGAGGGGACTTTGGGATGGGTGCTTAGTTCTGAGGGCTTGTGTTTGGGACCAGAGGTCTCTCTCTTCATTGTTTTATTCTCTTTATCTGTTAAGTGTAACATTCTCGTTCTTTAAAATAAATGTAATAATAGTTTTATTAAAGAAACACCTGATCTGTCAATTGTCCTCTTACTTGCCAGGATCTACCACCAGGTTTTGGCTGCTCAGATGAGAAGCAGTGACAGTAGAGTACAAACCTTACAGGAAGCAATACCAGTGCTTTACAGGCATAATTTTTGTTCTCACTTTTTTTTTTTTTTTCCTTATCACTTTGGTTTTCACTCTAAGAAAATTTTGTTGCTCTAAATGATTTGTGTGTTTTTTCTCCTGAGGCAGGAGGGTAACAGGATGCCAGACTGTTCCAGATGAAGAGCTGTTAATTCACTTGGTGCCTGGGGGCTGTTTGCACTAGCTCAGTAGCTTAATACTTTTTACATACATTTTAGAGCTTGATTTTTATTTTGGTGGAAGAATTCTCCTTGTGTAAGCTTGGAGATTTCTGCATCCAACTGCTTCTGCCCTGAAAGTGATACAAATGTTATCCTGTGAACAAGAGACAAAAGAAGTGCTATAAGGCAGTTTTCTTTTGGCATTGCAGGTGCAGCCTCTGCTCCCAGGATCAGTGACTGTAATGATTCAAGACCTGTGTCTGGCTTTCCCTGCCCCAGCTGAAGCTGAAATTCATGTGTCTGATATCCAGGAATTCACGTGTGAGTTGTTGGCAAGGTCAGTGCCTTGGAAGCAGCATTAGGAGCTGATCCAGCCTGCCCTGGCTCCCTGTGCTGCTGGTCCTGAGCACAGAGATCACACATGGACAAGATGCTACAACAGAGAAACAACTGCAACCTCCCTGTGTCTCTGTTTCTCCCTCCCAAATTTATCCCTTCAGGTTATAAGGGTCTCAGGGTATCAGGTATCTGTTCGTGTTCTGTGTGGCAGCAATCTCAGCTTTTGCATTTACATAGTAATATTAATCCCTAATTTATATGGACATGCTCATTTACATTTCCTCCTGTTTAAAGTGCATGTGAGCAATTCTTTTAGGAGTAGGTTTTGCCCCAGGGTCATTTTCCATATGTCAGGCTTTAAAACTGAACAGAAGAAAGTCCAGCTCATTGCTCTTGCCAGCTTGGGTGCACCTTAAACAAAAGAAGTGTTGATATTTCTGGATGTTTTAATTATGCCCTTGCCAGCTGAAGGACCTGAGTTCATTCAATTCATCTGACACTAACTCTAGCTGCAGGGATTAGTCTTTAAAATCAGTGCTAGTCTAACCTTGGGGCTCTATCTCCACTAGCCTACTACAAGTATAATACAAAATCAAGTGAAAATTTTTATGCTAATAAATAAGAGTGGTGTGAATGCAGAATGACTGGATATATCTGTTTCAGGTGGAGATTGGAAAAACAGTTAAAGCTTATGTCAGAGTTCTGGATGACTCAAAGAAACCTTTTCTGGCAAAATACTTCCCTGTCATGGATCTCAGTCTCAAAGCAGCATCTCAGTTTGTCTCACTTGTGTAAGTTAATGGACTTTTGAAATTAATCTGTGAATAAGAATTGGCAAAAAATGAATAAAGATATGAGGTTAAAGGCATGGTAATACACAACGGCTGAGAGTCTATTTATTTTCTTTTTGTGAAGCCTTAATTACCTGTTAAAAGGTAAAATATTATTTGTGAGGGAAGTTGCCTGAACCAACAGGCTGAATGTTGCTGGCTGATGAAGGAGACTTCGTTCCTCCAGTGTGATGACTGATGAAGCTTTGTGCATCTTGGAAGCAGTGACTTGGCAGAGAGTGTCAGGTGAAGAGTGCTGTGTGAAGGCACATCTGATGTTATCAAACTCACTGTGTCTGTTGCTTGTTTCATTTTCACTTCAAGTATTTAATGTTTCAATAAAGCACAGTTTGCAAAGAGCAATCATGTGTAAAAATGTGATAATTTCCTCAACTTTGCTTCAGACAGTCACTTAGCCTTGTGGTAAAACTGCTGGTCACTAAATGAGTCCTTTGCTTTGCTATTTGTAATTTACACAGTAATTTACTATCTCTTTAATGGATTTCTTTGCAGCCCCCTGAGGGAGGCTCCGGATGAGCACACTGCTGCTTTCCTGGTGCGTGGGATGAGCATTGGGCAGACGAGTCTGATGGCAACTGTGGCTGACAGAAGAGGACAGAGACTCAACTCTGCTCCACAGCAGATTGAAGTAAATAATTTCAGATAAGATACATGCATAAAGAAAGTCTGTGCTACAATGGAACAGGAATACATACATTATGGTTACAGTATAGTAATCAATTTGCCATAAAATTCATTCTGTCTGGAAGCTGACCTAATGCCAGTCAGATTTCAGTGTTGTTTAACTCAGATGAGGTAAATTTCTGCATGCTCAGTTTACTGTGATTAAGCAACTAAAGACTCAGTTGTACATTTGTACTGTGGTGTAATTTATCTGACTGAAGGATCCTGAACACAGGTATTCATATTTCTGTTTTTAGGTCTTTCCCCCATTTAGACTACTGCCAAGGAAAGTGACCCTAATTATTTGGGCCATGATTCAGGTGAGGCATCGTCTTACATATTTTCTTTACTTTGTAATTTCTGTTGTAAAATGAATCTTCATAACTGGATTTTCAGCAGGAAATACTCAACTTGACATTTATCTGCATTCACACTGAATGGACTGACAGGCTTGTTGGAGAGGGACTTTGGGCAAGGGCCTGGAGTGACAGGACACCAGGAGTGGTTTCAACCCAACGCAGGGCAGGGCCACATGGGATATTGGGCAGGAATTGTTCCCTGTGAGCGGGGGGAGGCCCTGGCACAGGATGCCCAGAGCAGCTGTGGCTGCCCCTGGATCCCTGGAAGTGTCCAAGGCCAGGTTGGACAGGGCTTGGAGCAGCCTGGGATTAGTGGAGGGTGTCCCTGCCCATGGAACAAGATGAGTTTTGAGGTCCTTCCCAACCCAGCCCATTATGTTTCTGTGATGGATACTCCAGTGAGCAAGAACAATGTCATTCTTGAGCCAGCTTCTGTTTTGCTCTATTGCTGGATCAAAGGATTTGTATTTGCATTTGTCAATTGGGTGTCAGCTTTTCTGGTGTTAAATACCAGCACAGCATGAGTAAATCTGTTGGCTCCATGAAATTAGGCATGGTGGGCTTGTTGTTCACACTGAAACACAGAGCAGAGCTCTACACCAGGGTGCTGAGGAGAAGGGGAGGTAAAGTTTGCTGAAACTTTCTGGAGTGGAGGTGGCATCAACCTGTGACACTCTGTGAGGCACCGGGTCCACTTCTGTGCTCAGCTCATGCATTTCCCAGGCTGACATCCTGCTAGGACCTGGGGGAATAGTCCTGGAGCTGTCCTGGGAAGGTGCAGGCAGCACTGAAGTCACTGTGGTGCTGAGCAGGGAGGGTGTGCCCTGTAGAGGTGACCAGAACTATCTGAAGGGTTCATTAGCTGTTCTGTGTGCTGTTCTGACAGATCAGTGCTGAAGGAGGCCCCCAGCCTCTCTCCAACATCATTTTCTCCATTGACAACGAGCACATTGCAGCAGTGAACAGCTCTGGGCTGGTCAGAGGAGTGGCCATTGGCAGCGGGGTGGTGACAGGATTGCTGCAGGCTGTTGATGCAGAGACAGAGAAGCTTGTGGCAGTGTCCCAGGTAATGTTTGTGGTGCTGTTAAGGGCTGACAGGAGCTCTCTGAGTTGTGGCTTTGGCTCTGAAAGGGGGCACAGAGTCTTTCTGCATGAGCAGTGTTACCTCGTGCACTTCTCTGGTTTCCTGAAGATGAAAACTCAGAGTTCCTTCTCCCTGGCACATGAACTTACACAGGTATTAGCACAGGTAGTACTTTGAACAGGCAGGTAAATCTTGCTGTGCCTTAAATCAGTCTCACAGATAACCAGGGAGGCTTTATGACCAGTCTGGAGTTGTCAGAATTGGTTAGTGCATCTAGAAAAGCCCATCTAAAGAAGCCTTTCTAGCACAGCAGAAGGTTGTCTTGATCTGCATTCCCTCTTAGGTCAGGATGATCCGAAGGCAGCTGTTGCTGAAAAAATTGTCTCCTAAGCTGCAGCAGTATAGAACACTGTCATCCCTTGCTGTGGTCTGACCCCATCTGTGAGGTGCAAGCAGTGAATCCCTGACATTCCCTCAGAATCTGTGTGCTTAGATTTTCCTGCAGCTGTGTGTGAGGGAGGTGGGCAGGCCTGCAAGGGAGCAAAAGTCCCTGGGACTTCCATGAGACTCAGAGGAACAGAACTTGGGCCAGATCTTATGACTTCTTCCTTTGAGCTCAGGGCAGCACAGCTGCTGTGAACCACAAAGCTCTGCTGCTTGACAGGTGCCAGAACAGTCCCAAGAAGACACAAACTAAATATAAAAAAAACCCCAAAAAACCAAGAAATGTCTGCTTTTTAATGTATGGACAGCAGTCTGCCCTAATCGTGTGACAGGAGGCAAAGTGAACTTGAAAGGTCAATCTGCTGCCCGGTGAGGTCCAGGTCTGACCTTTCCTCCCCAGTACACAGCAGGAATAAAATCTATCAGGAATGCCTGGGTATATGAAGAGGAGATGTCAGAGTCAAACATCATGTTTTTATTCTCAATTGTCCCATTCGGTGCTCTACAATCCTCATTTCATTCCAGCTCCTCTCTGTGTCTTCCTTTACTCCTGGGTTTCTTCATCCCTCTTCTTCTGGGGCCCCTTGTGATCTTGTCTGCTGCTGTCTCTCACCTCTCAGCTCCATCATTCATGTCATCAGTAATTTTGAGTAGATTTTTTTTTCAATCTGGGGGACATGTTTAAATGCTTATAAATCAAAATTTAATCCTTTCTAGTTTTTTACATTTCTACTGAATTTGTCCATCTGTATTTCCTCTGACATCTCAGAAAAATCACAGAGCAACAGTGATTAGATAATGGTAAAATAGTGGCTGTAGAGCCTGAAAGTGAAGTCTGGTTTCTGTTTGACAAGTGCTTTCAGTGTCTTATCTTCCTCTTCCCCAGGACAAGGTGGAAGTTGAGGTGGTACAGCTGACAGCTGTGAGAATTTGGGCACCCATCACACGAATGAAGGCTGGTACTCAGGTGAGCTGGTTAGGGATTGGCTTTTGTCACCTTCACGTGTTGGAACTGCAGCTTGTGCTCGTTGCTGTCACACCTCCTGGTGACAGCACTGCAGTTCTGGGAGGAACCATTTTCTTCATGAGAGACCCCATCTCTTAATCAGAGGGAATTTAAATTCTCTTTGCCGTGGGCAGGTGTTTGGTTTGCATGCTGGCATTACCTAAGCAGGCTGGTTTCTCTCTTTCCAGATGCCAGTTTATGTCATGGGCATCACCAGCACTCAGACTCCTTTCTCCTTCGGCAGTGCTGTGCCAGGGTTAACGTTCCACTGGTCTGTCAGCAAGAGGGACACCCTGGATGTCAGGACAAGGCACAGTGAGGTAAAGTGTGTGTGTGTGTGTGTGTAGTGCGTGTGTGTGCAGCTTGGGAAAAGGAAACGGCCACTTCAGGGCAATGCAGGGAATGTTGCTGCCTCCACTGCCTCAAAAGCCAGGATCAGTTGTCAGCACCTCGGTGCCAATGTCTGCGCTTTCCATGAGTCAAACTTGAATCCCTTTCTCCTGTCCAAGGCTGCTTTTCAGCTTCCTGCAAACTACAACTTTGCAGTGGATGTTTATGGCAGAGTAAAGGGAAGAACAGGCCTCAAAGTTGTCGTGAAGATTCTTGATGCTGCAGCCAACCAGTTCTACAACATGGCAAGGGAACTGTCTGACGAAATCCAGATTCAGGTAGGATGATTTCCTACACAGTTGTTCATGTTGAAGTATCTCCTTCAGAACTGGACTGAAGTCTCTGTTTGAGATCAGGAATTTGAAATGCAGGAGTAGCTCCAGCTTTGGTTTATCTTTGTGTCCTTACTCTTGTTTGTATAATATTCCTCATCTGGGCTCATGCAGTTCATGAGCTCATGGGGTTAGGGGGAGTCGAAAGTAACTCGGGTGAATATGACATTCCCAACACCTTTCCCTTGAGAAATCCTCTGTTTTCATGCTGAAGAAAATTCCTGAACTTACTACCAACCAGTTTACCCATAACCCTGGAAATAAATACTCTCAGAATAACTTGTAGAAGATAGTGGCTCTCCCATTCTCAAATACTCATGTTCAGTTGTCTTGTTTTACCATATATATTATACAAGAGAAGAAAGAAAGTTACAGCTCTGTTTAGTTTTGTTTGTTGATTTATTTTGAAGATTAAATAAATAAAGTAAATTACTGTCTGCACACAACAGTGGGCCAAAATGCCTCTTACTTTCCAGGTGTTTGAAAAACTTCATCTAGTCACCCCAGAGGCAGAAGCAGAGCAGATCCTCATGTCACCAAATTCCTTTATTGAACTTCAGACCAACAGGTCAGTGCTCAGTTTCCATAGTGTGGCTTGTGTCAGCCCTGTATCCACACTGTAGGACTGTTGTGTTTAAGGGAGCTGTTTCAGCCTCTCAGTAGCACTGTTCATCCATTTAATACACAGCTTACCTGCTGGTTCATGGTATCTTACTGTTCTCTCAGGCTTTGTCAAATCTTGTATTAGATTGTAGCTGTAAAATTCATTCAATATTGGGAACTTTCAGATCCTTTTTTTAAAAGCAGCTGAGCCAGTTAAAGCAGTATCCTGCTGCCTGCTTCCTGTAGAGGTTTTGATGGGTGATTGAGGCTTTGTGGAGTATAATTCTGTGTATTTCGCACACAGAGGTTATGGCTGTATTTTCAGATTAAAATGTCATTTCCAAATGAGAAATTCTTTTTACATAATCTCTTTTCAAAGACTGACATTTTAGACTCATAGCAGGCTTGTTTTCCCAGCATAATAATGGTCAGATAGAGACAGTAGGACACACACTGAGGGCAAAGCTTTAGAGGCATTTGCATTTTAGGGGGAGGGAACCCTAAGTTTAATGGAATCACAGACTGGTTTGTATTGGAAGAGACCCTAAATATGGTTTTACACATTTAAAGGATTCCTTACTTTCTGTTTTGCTTCAGGGACCGAGTTGCCTCCCTAAGTTACCGTGTCCTGGATGGGCCAGACAAAGTCCCTGTAGTGAAAGTTGATGAGAGAGGATTCCTCGTCTCTGGGTCTGTGGTCGGATCCTCAACCATTGAAGTGATTTCACAGGAGTTGTTTGGCATCAACCAGACCATCATAGCTGCTGTTAAGGTACTGTCAGCTCCCTTCCTTTGCACTTTCCTCAAGTACATCTTCACTGCTCCAACAGGGATTGTTGGCTGCACTTCTTGAACTTCACTTCTGAAAAATGAGCAGTGTGGGAATTAACAGTTCTGAGCTTTGAACCGTGGGACACCAGGGAATGTAAGCCCATCATCTCTGTTCAAAAAATCCTTGAGCCAAGAACTTCCTGCATCTGGCAGCATGAGCCTTGAGATAGCCACTGCTCCCCTTCCTCCTATCCCTTTTTACTGTCAGCATCTTCCCTCTGTCCCAGCTAAAGGAGAAAAATGTACAATTGAGTGCTTTAAGTTATTTCTAAGTGTTTGCTGTTCCTGTAATCACTGTGAAGTGTCTTGGTGGATTTTTTTAATTTGAATTTTGGAATTTCCCAAATTCACCTCCAGCTCTGTTACTGATGACCTTGTTTCTTCCCTTTGGCAAGTGAAAAATGTCTGATGAGTTTGGGGTGGCTCAAACACCATTTAGTCAGCACGCAGTGGGACTGAAGTCAGATCCCCTGTGTGAGTTTGTCCTGTACCCAAGATGGTGATACAGAGCTCTCTGTAGTAGGACCCATCTCAGTTCAGCACCTTGTACAGCTCATTTATTCTCCTGTACTTACTACAACTGTAGTGCCTTTATGGAAATGATATTTTGAACCTCATGAGGTAACACAATTCATTTTATGGCGGAAGAGCTGAGAGAGCTTGAGAGGTTTTGCTGAAGGTCGTGTCAGAAAACTTGTGACAGAGCTGGAGATGAGCTTGAATCTGTTGTGTCATTCTGAGGCAAAGCTCTCTCCTTCACTTTGTCCTTCTTTCATAAGGTCTGGTGTTGTCTGTTTACAAGTGTACAATTAAGAACCAAACTGCTGCAGCAGCATCACCTAACACTTAGACCTTGAACTTGGTCAAAGAAGGGCTCTTACATAAGCCAGGGAGGGTGGGTGAAGAAGGAGTGACAGTGAGCTTAGTGTGGGACCAAGCTCAGCACTTGCCTGGGCCTGCTGGGCTCAGTATTTTATTTTATTTATTTCTTGAATTAAAAATAAACCGCATCAAAATCTGAGATACTTTAACAGTAAAAGGCTGTTTTCATCAATATTAAATTTAGCAGTCGTCCCTTGTGGGACAGTTGCTGAGATTTTAAAGTAAAGCAAGCTTGATAATCTGTCAGGGAAATGGGGTTTTTGTTGGCTTGTAACCACGGCTTGTTGGGCAGAGATCTGTGTGCATGGAGATTTTAACTGATGAAACCAGCCCGTGGCCACTTTTTTTTTTTTTTTTTTTTTGGATTCACCAAAGATGTATTTTGCTTGAGGCCAAATTTGTCCTTTCCTTTTTAAGTTCTGACATGTACATTTTCAGATTGCAAAATTTTACGTTTTAGCTGAGCCTCTTAGGTCAGGAAAATAAAGGGATTTTTCTACAAGATAAGCTTGAGGCCTTCTTTTAAAATAGTTTTTTCAATATAATTGAGGAGTTTTGCTTCCTCTGTCCATTATTTCTTTTCCAACAGCTGTAATAAAAAGAGAGATATAGTTATTTTTGTTGGGTAATTTTGCTCGTTAACCTAGGTAAGTTAATCAAGAATAGTAATATGCAATTTAAACACCAAAAGAACAGGTTGTCAAGTCTTTGTCTTCAGAAAACCTTTCTTGCCTGGAGTGTTACTGCCGAAATGGGGGGCTGTGCACATAGGGTTAATGGAGCAGACTCTCCTGAGGAGTTCAGAGCAGTTCCCAACTTCTGTCTTGGCTGAGGAGAGGCACTGAGGGAACCAAGCTGAGCCTCTGAGCCCTCAGGGTTTGTCAGCTTCCAGCTCTGCCTGGAACAGCTTGGCTTTCTCACCTGCTGCAGGGGAGCTGGGCAACAGTGACCATTCCATCCCCTTACTCACACATACATTGTGAGCTACCCTTCTAATACCTGGGCAATTAATTGCACCTTTTATTTCAGGAATTATTAGGAGAGAGGTCATGGGGCCACTTCTTCACTTGCATATCCAGGGAATCTTAACAGTTTGAATTGATAGGATAGTAATGTGTTCTCTGAAGTCTGTGTGTGATGTATGTTTCTTCATGATTGTTTCTTGTTTCCGTTCCCAGTGGTACTAGAAAAAAGGGCTAAGAAATATCAGCTGTGAGGGTACAAAGCAGACAGAGCCAGGCTTTTCTCAGCCTGACAGGGCAAGGGGAACACAGAGGAAACACTGTCTGAACACGGGACAGCACTTTTTACTGGGGTGGCTGTTGAACACAGGCTTCAGGAGCTGTGGAGTCTCCATCGAGCAGATGCCCGAGCTGCCTGAACATGGTCCTGCCCAGCTGGCCCTGGGTAACCCAGCTTGAGAGGGGGCTGGACTAGGCAGTGTCACAGGCCCCTTTTAACCTGAAATGGAGATACTTACAACAGCAGCTTCATGTGTTAGTCCTGGCATATGGCAAAATGCAGGTGGCTCATAAAGGCAGCTCTGGATATTTACATAAAAATAACTTTCTTCAATTATTTTTACAGGGGCATCATAAAAAGCAATTGAACTTTCCTTCTCACTGTCGATGCTTTTCCAGGACTGCCCCATCTCCTACCTCAGGATCTCCATGAGGCCGGTTCTGCTGACCCAGAGCAAAGAGGCACTGCAGGCCCTGCCCCTGGGTGTGACACTGACGTTTACAGTCCATTTCCAGGACAACTCTGGAGATACTTTCCATTCACACAATGCTGTGCTCAACTTTGCCACCAACAGGTGGGTGTCTGTCACGGGTGGTAATTACACAGAGCAAGAAAAGGCCAGACATACATAAAACAAAAGTGGTTCCAGGAATACCAAGTGAACATACAGCTTGGGCTGGGATTAGCAAAGCAAGGGTTTTGTCTCTGCAGCCTTCAGAGGCAGTGGCGGGAAGGAGAGTTGCAGTTAGCAATCGGTATTCCCTAGCCATGGAAAGCTGCCCGGATAAGCGTGGTCCCAGTGGGACCTGCAGGAGTGGTGCTTTGCTCTGAGTGACTCTGAATCATCCCCCTGCACGCAGCAGTGGCCCAGAGAAACAACTGATCCATCAGCATCTGCCTCTCCCAGTGCTGTGTTCCACTGACTCACTGAGGGCTTACGTAAGGTGGGGAACACTCTGGATCAGGGGCTGTCTCCTCAGATGGGCTTGTGCAACCTTCCCACAGCAGAGACAAGCCTCAAAAGGCTTTGGTCTCTGCCTCACAGAGTAAATGTTGTGAAGCAGCCTCCTGTGGTCTTCAGTAGAATACCACTAGTGCTGTTACTGAAACATGGTTTGTTTTCTGCAGAGCACCTTGCTGAATTTGGGTAGATACCAGAACTGGACATTACGTCTGGGAAGTTGCATTTTGGTGTTCAAATTTCTTGGCTTCCTAACACCCTTGAGAAAAGGAAAAAGAGGCAAATTATGTCATTCTAAAGCTCTACAATTCTCACAATTAAGTACTTTTCATGCATAATTGCGATCTCGGTATTTCCTCAGCATAGTGGTGAACTGAGAACTGTAATTTGCCTCAGTGACACCTGAATAATTTTTACAATTTCCTTACTTTGCTGGACTTCATCAGATGACTGTTCCTGAAAACAAGCAGTCAGCCAGCTGAAGAGTTTGACACCTCTCCTGTTGGAGAGACAATGCCATTCCCAAGCCTTCCCTCACACAGCAGCACTTGTGTTTGTGTGCAGGGATGACTTCGTGCGGATCGCCAAGGGAGCTGCCAACAACACCTTTGTGATCAGGACTGTCAGCGTGGGGCTGACCCTGCTCAGGGTGTGGGATGCAGAGCACAGGGGCACTGCAGACTACATCCCACTGCCTGTGCAACATGCCATCTTCCCAGAGCTCCCAGACGTGGTGGTGGGGGATGTCCTGTGCCCGAGGACCTTGCTGACAGCCCAGGAAGGTGAGTGGCCTCCAGCTGTGTGGGTTAGCAGCTATTCCGTGGGACACCAGTCTCAGCAAAGCTAAATGCATGATTTACCATGTTTGTTCAGAATCAAACGTCACTGTTCTTGTTAATGACTAAAATAGGTTTGATCAACTCCTCTAATTTTAATTGCACTATGCAATATGTCTCTTGTTTTGAATTCCTGAGCATCACACTTCAGATATTTCTATTCCATTAGCTGGAAAGGCTTGGTTCTGTGGGACTCCTGCAGCGTCAGGCCTGCCTTCACTCACTGTGTTTGATTGTTGGTATTAATGGGCTTGTGTCAGAATAACTGCTGAGCAGTGGCACTCTCAGACACCAGAGTGGTTCCTGGGCACTGGGGGATGTGTGCCCTGCCTGGCAGTGGCACTCTCAGACACCAGAGTGGTTCCTGGGCACTGGGGGATGTGTGCCCTGCCTGGCAGTGGCACTCTCAGACACCAGTGCCCAGGAGATGCTGCAGTTGGCAGCAGGGTGTGAGCAGTGCCCCTGTGGTGTTTTCCAGGCCTGCCAGGCGTGTGGAGCTCCTCCTCAAGTGCTCTTCTTCTCGTGGATTCCAAGACTGGTGTGGCCCTGGCAAGGGACTCTGGGGTGGTCACTGTCTACTATGAGATCCCTGGGTTACTGAACTCCTACAGAGAGCTGAGGCACTGTTCTGTTACTGCTGAGATTGGTTTGGACCTAACCAAACTGTATTCTGTGGAATTTTTTTATTATAAATATTTAGAAATGTTCTTCTAGAAAGGCAGATGGTTGGGAAGTGTTTGGTATGTGGCCAAAACATCATGTTTTTTAAAACATCTTTTCTAAGGAGGAAAATGTAGCATAGCCATTTTGATTTTTTTCCTCTACTGTTCTTATATTGTATATTTTGATTCCGTTGTTGGCCAAGTTGCTTCCAGGTGCTAACCAACTTTTGAGTATGGCTGCTATTATGAATGAAACTTCACTGCAGGATTAGATGCCAACAAGAAGTTGCTCAAGTGTTGTGCCATGCATCACTGATCAGATTAAATGATTTTTTTATCTCTATGCAGTCGTACTGTTGACACAATTCACTGCATCAGCCAGCATAAGCACTAGACATTCTTTTAAAATTAAATTTAGACATAAAGCTTTATGCATAATTACTTCTGGGGGTTGGGTAGGGAGACAAAATGTTTTTGCTAGCTTAAATTGCTTGGAAAGGCATTTTCCAATATTAGAGAAATCTGGGATTTCAAAGAAAAACATGGCTTTGTGGAGTCTTTTACAACTAATCCAGTCTGGTTTTGCCTTCATTTTTATTTGTTGAAACAGTTTTTGGTAACAATGTGTTTCATCCTTTTTTCAGATCTTGATTAATGTGCCTCAGAGGACCACAGCAATGCATGTCAGTGGTGTGCAGGCAAGCTTGCAGGGAGTGGCAGCTTCAAAAGTCATAGTTTCAATTGGGGAAACAAACAAAAATTTGAAAGGTATGATTAAAAAATATTTATGCTGTTGGTTTATTGTTTGTTTATTGATTCATGATGCTTTGGTTTGTGTTATGGGGTTTTTGTTAGTTGTTTAAGGGTAACAAGATCCCCAGGAACCTCAAATGCCTTTGTAGAGTCCCGGGAGCTCTAGGAGCCGTGGGATAGAATTTGGAAGGTGTTCTGGAGCACTGCTAATATTTCACAAGTAACAAAATCAGTAGATTTCAATAGAGATACCATTTTTGGTCATACAAGCGACAGTTAATGGGCAATCACCTGCGGCTTTCGGGGGTCACTTGCGGCTGTCCCCTGTCCCTCCTTGGCCCCCCGGGACCCCTCCGGCTAGCTGTCCCCTCAGGGGACCAGGGTTTGCCGCGGTCCTGCTGCACTGGGCTTAACAGGCAGCGGCTGGGTTTGCACGATCCGAGCAGCTGTGCGCCTCGGTCACCGCAAGGATTCGGGATAAAGAGACAAAGAGAGGTCAATTTGTGTGCAGTCCAGAGAAATTGTATTGCCTGAAAGGTTGCAGGGACAAAAGACCGTGGGCTACTGCCCAGATACAGTTTTATACAGCAAATTAAGAGATAAGGTCTAAACAATAGAGACAGTGTCCAGCATGGGCACATCAGAACCACCCCAGGTGTTGGGTCCAATGGGAACTGCTCAGGGGTGGGGAAAAAGGGGTTTACAGAAAAATACTGAAGCAAAACTTTCCCGAAACAATGGGGCATACATAAATGTATCTTTTCCTCATACCTAAATGTATCTTTTCCTCAGTTTCCAATTCCCAAGGCCTTTCTAAATCCCTTCCTCCACACTACCGCGGCAGCGCGATAGCAACATCTCCCTCTTCTTTACTTAATAAGATGAACGGTGCCTTGGGAGAAGGTAAAACTGCGTCTCTCAAACTGCCGTGTCTTTCTGCTTGTTGTCTTCTCACCAATCGCCCTCCGTGACGGCAGCAGCGATGAGAACAGGTGCGGAAGCCTTAGGCTTTGAGGTGATGACTTTGGAGATGATTCGCTTAAGAATCCCAAATGCTAACAGAACTAAAAACAGTGCAACTAGAAAGTAAAAGATGTCTTTTAAAAGAGACACTGCCCACCCAGAAAGGTCCCAGTCTTTGAACAGATCCTTAAACCAATCTTCATTTTCTTGCTTCACACTCCCAATGAGGCTTCTCATTTCCTGAATGGACGAGTGGACACTCTGGCCTTTAGATGACAGATCAAAACAACACAACCCATCAAACTCTTTACATCCATGACCATGTGCCAACAGCAGGAAATCAATAGCTGCCCAATTTTGGAGGGTAGCCTTTCTGGTTATTTCCTCGTCTTCTAGAAGGTCACTCAGGGCTGCTGATGTTAAATTTGCCTGCTTCGTCACCCAGCATTCCAGATTGCCTAATTCACTCAATGCTTTTGCTGCCGCAACCCATGGTAAAAACACAGAGACGGCAACTCTTTTGGATTTTGCCCAATGGTAAATTTCTGCATCACAATGTTCATCAAATTGACTTGCACTTCGCTTAGTAATTTTTGTCTCACCTTTTGCTCGCCCAATCGGAATTTGGGTCATGTTGGGGGAAGCAAGGGTCAGATGCCCGAAAGTGCATGGACCTCCAATAAGACGAGAGGGGATTCCTGGGTATGCTCTGTCCCCACAGATAAGAAACACTCCCTTGTCCAGCTTGTGGGGACAGAAATCAGTGGTGGATGCAAATTTCAGCTTATAGACAGCTGTGCACCATTGACCCGCCCTGAATTCTACCTTGTACTGTTTGACTTGCTCATATAGTTTTACTTCTTTGGTTGGGGAAAAATCAAATTGAATGCAATATTCAGCTTTTGCGGAGCCCAGGAGTTCTAATTCCTGGGTCTCTCCCTCGGCAGAGGGCAAGTGTAGGATCCACTTTTGCCACAAAATGAGGGGGTTTTGCACTGGTATTTTAACTTGTTCTACAGCTCCTCGGCGCCTGTAGAACTCTGCCCCCGCCTCAGGTATTTTATTTTCGTTCACCTGCTTTTGCGAGCGGACCAGACCGATTGGGAACTCATCCCCCTTACTTGGAGCCCCTACTAAACATGTGGACATCGGATTTTCTGCTGAGGCAGTAGACAAACACATGTGATCTTGTTTCAAGGCTTGGGCGAGTGTGACCCATACATTTTTCTTAGGCTGTGGAACGATCCACGCGTCCACTGTGGACGGGTAGATGGCCATTTTCTGGAATCAAACGATGAGCAGGAATGTGGAAATTGACATTCTGCTAGTCTGAAAGAAAGATAAAATCATACAACAAGGTAAACTAACTCTGAAAAAGGTACAATTTGCTCTGCCAGTATAAAGGAAAACAGGGATTAGGGGTCTCCTCCTTCCTTGCGGCGTTTGAGGCAACTGCGTTTTCTGTGGGATTCCCCTGAGCGTCAGGGGCGTTACTCTGTGGTGGACTCACTCTCCATTCGGCAGTATATGGTCTGACCCATTTCTTAGGAATCCACCTGAGTCCAGAGGGTGTGTGGATACACACGCATACCCCCGTCCCCAAGTGATAAGCTGCTGTGGACCCTGGATTTCTCCAGAGTCTGGATCCCTAATTAACACTGGAGGTCTCTCTTCGGGTCTGAGCTGTTGATGTTGTTTAAAATGACGCAGGACTGGGGGTTCAGGCTTATCAAAAGAACAATTTAAGAAGTTAGAAAAATGAACAGGTTTAGTGAGTCTCAATCGGTAAGGTTCGGTCTTATCAGTGGTGTAAGCTTGGCTGCTGACAATAGGTACAATGTGGTGAACAGCAGCTCTGGCCACAACACCTTGGCCCACCCCATTTGTGTCATCACATGGGATAGGACCGCGCTCCCCAGTCAGTTTTTTTGCTGATTGGAGACCTCCCCCGCTCCCATTTTCCCCCTCAGAGGGCACTGGCCTATGAGATGTCCCTCCTGGTTACAGAAATAGCATTGGTGTTTGGGTGCAGGAGGCTTGGCAGCCCTTGGTGTTTTCGGGGTTACCATTGCCTCTGCAACCACTTTCCTCTGTGGTTTTATCACTGAGTCCCTTGTCATTAGTGTAGCTTTTGTCGTGCACTCCTCAATGAGCTGATCGAGTGTGGGTGGAGATGATGCTGGAAGGGCTAGGATGACTCGTTGACAGGCTTCATTTGCATTTGTGGTGGCAATTTCTAGTGTGAGCTGATCTTGGAGCTCTGGATTTTGCACCCTTTTCTCGACTGAAGCTCTCACTCGATCCACAAAATTCATGAACGGCTCTGCAACAGACTGCTTTAAAGCGGTGTAAAAAATGATAGGTTCTTTAGAAGGCATGTTAAAAAATGCACGTTCTGCCGCATCCCTGGACAGGTCTAACACTGATCTGGGAATGCCCGCTGCTTGCTTCTCAGCTTGGCTCCAATCACCCTCACCCACTAGATGTTCTAAGGTGATTTCCTCATCCTCTGTATCTGTGGAATGGGTTGGACTCTGCAAAATCTCTGGAAGGAGGTCTCCTGCAAGCCTTTTCCAAGTTCTTTCCCACAATCTAAATTCAGATTTGTGGGAATCCAGGGCTTCCCTCTGGCTGCCCTGGCAGGTCTGGGACCCTGGCAGGGGTCAGGAACCCCCCCTGTACAGAGCCCCGAGAGACACTGTCTCTGATCTCTGTCCATGGAGAAGAGTTTTCAATCTTACAGGATGAATTACAAGCTTTGAGTGTTTGATAAGAGTAATAGTTAAGTGTGGCACGGGTGCAAAAGTAAAATTTTAAGTTTCTAGATTAGGGGTTCAGAGGGGACAAGATGGAGGAAATTGGGTGTGTCTTGTCCTTTTCCTCCTTCTTCATGCCCTCCATGTTTCACTGTGGTGTTGGCATTTTTCTATTGGTTTAGGCTGGGGACACGCTGTTTAACGTAGATGATAGATATTGGCACATTATTGTAAATATAGCACACGTAATTTCTGGTATATAATGTTTGTACCATCCCACTGAGGGGCAGAGCCCCGCACGCTGCCCTGCAGGACAGACCTGCGGCAAGGCAGCAGAACATGTTAGAGATAAGCAAGAATAAACAACCTGTGGTAGGTAAGGGACAGGCGAAGCGGAAGACCACGCGATGTCACGGAAAGATAGACCCCTCCCCCTCTCTCTTCCCCACATTATCTATTAACCCCAGAAGCCCCAGAAGAATGTAGCCACACCTGCTCTGGTAAATTTCCACTACCCGACTAACCCCTGAGACCCCCCCAACCCCCCTCTGACGTAGCAAAAACCCCTAAAACTATTTAAACCCACGAGATAGGATAATAAACGCTTTTCAACCGTCTGCCATATTGGTGTCTGCGTGTGTTGATTAGCCCGAGCAGCCTGGAAAGACCAGGCTGCCGTGCTGCCTTACCTGAACCAGGTCCCTGGTTGTCCTTTATAAAGGCAACATACTGGTGCCGAAGCCCGGGACAAAAGAAGAAAAAAAAGGAAAAATTCCCCCGGCGAACGGGATACACCTGGACAGGAGCAGCGGCCGGAACGGTCAAACCTTATCTAGGCGAGGGGAGACGTCCCCGGGATCCGCGAGCGTCATAGGCAGCGTCGCATGGGTCGTGAGTATGAAGCAATGGAGTATCGAGTTTAAGCTCAGGGACTTTTATCTTGCTATAGCAAGGCTGCCTGGGCTTGGAGCAACCCAATGCTCAGTGGATGCCATGCATCCGGGAATATGGGAACAGTGTACAGCCACGCTAGCCGCGGAATCGAAATCCTCAGGCAGTGGCGAGAGCGTTACGGCACGGGGCAAGGTAGAAAAAACCCCGCGCAAGGCAATAGAAAAGACGCCGAATGCAGCGCATATGTGTTTATTAGTCAGACCCGAGCTCGGGGGGGGGGGGCGAAAGCGCAGACCGTCCCTGAGGAGGGTCCACCCGGGAGCGGAGACCTGGGGGGACACAGCGCGACAACCCATTCCCCGAATCAAAGCGCAGCACGGCCCCGCCGCGGAGCTGAGCCCAGCCCGGCACGGGGGAGCGCCGCCGCCAGGGCCCGGGGCGGCGCGTTCCGAGCGGCGCAGCCCTGCTCCCGCCGGGACCCGGACCCGGCCGCGGCGCCGCCACCATATAAGGGAAAAACCACCCCCCGCGGTAGGCGCGGCGAGCCGGGGGAGCGGGAGCGGCCCCTCCCCCGCGGGGAGGAGCGAGCTCGGGGCCGGACAAAAC